CGTTTTCAGTGGAAGCACTGAGGGTGTGGACTTCAGAGTCCCGTTCAATGTATTCAACCTGTATATTCCTGTCAGTATGCAGGCAGAAAAAGAAAAGAGAAAAGAAGAATCTGGGGGTGGCTGGTAGCTCTGGAAGAGCTCTCTCAGCCTTGGGGGGTGAAACTGACGTCAGGATGTCTGCGGACTTGCTCGATGACCTCTTCGTCGAAGTGGCCAGAGTAGCCGAGAAGGCCACCGGCAAGATCAAATGTGTGCTTCAAGCCATTAAAGGCCTCGTTCTTGAATGTGAACTGGTTGCGTTTCTTCATACGCTTGGACTCGACAGAGGTGTGAATGTCCTGGACCCAGGTCTGGTGAGCTAGAGCCGAGGTAGAGGAGACACCCTTCTTGAAGACCACTATGTACGAATCCGGGATATCTTTGGCGTTTGTAGAGGAGAGGATAGGAGCAGCATTCTGGTGGATGGAGTCAACGATCATGGGGGAGGCGTATGCCAGGACAGGCAACACCGAGAGGCTGAGGAGGCCCTTCATGGTGACGACAAGGGCGAGGTCAAGGACGGGGAGGTAAGAATGAGAAGCTCGAGAGAAGGAGAGCAGACAGACTAGAGATAAAAGTGTGATGGAAGACCCCGATGAAGGTGATGATGAGTGAAAGAGCAAAAGAAGCAGAAGAGAAGCTGGTGATGAGAAGAAGAAGAGAAGATGACGAGGAGGAGGAGGTTGGAGGTCGACAGATGAAGTCCCGGCGGCCGGAGCGGATGATGTAAGATCCTCGCGCTGACTCATCAAATCACGTCACATGCCTTGCTCTATAAGTGGAGTCGAGCTTATGTAAGGTTTGGCTGGGGTCACGTTGTTTCTTTCTTGCTCGCAAAAAGAAGCTCGTGATAACCAGTGACTCGGCCCATATTACGCCCTGGACGGAGTAGTTACGTGAGAGGCAGCGCTCGTGATGAGAAGTCTAGCTACAGGGACGCTCAAGGTGACGACGGCCTTGTTCAACATTCGTGAGCTTCCGTGCCTGGGAGAGCTCCAGCAGCTCCAGCTTTTGCTCGCTAGCTAGCTCCGCAGGGATCGCCGGAGAAAATACTAGTGCCCGACTGCAGGCCAGATGTGACTCCAGCCAAAAACCCTCTGGGCAAGGCTGCCATGCCAACAGTGGAGATAATCCATGCCCGGGTGCTCCCCTTGTGACGGAGAGTCGCCTCTGCCGACTTCGCTCATCTTGGAAGAGCCGGTGAAGTGCAGAAGACCGTGTGAGGCATCTCAGACCCCAGCACTGGCGAGGGCCGGTGGGAAATGGCTGAAACCGCCACCGTCTGGCGCGTCGCTACCAACTAGTCACTTAGCTAACTCTAGGCTTAAAGAACCGCTAGGATGATGGTCCAAAGCAGCTCTGTAAGCTACCGGCAGGTGACACCAGACAGGGAACAGGCGGCAAGGTTCTTCTTGCCGCATCTGGTGCCTAGAACTGATGGTGCCTTCCGTGAACAAGCTCAGAGATGGTACGGAGTAGATTGTGCCTTCTTCCCACCGTGGGTTGCTCTATCATATATCGAAGCACCTACTCCGTACCAGCGGTAGTCAACAAGACACACCAGTCCCCTTGATATGAATGACGGTTGCTTATATAAACTAATCACGTGATAGACTTTGGCGCCAAGACATATCGCGTCACTCCAAGCATCTAGTGACTGTACCATTATCAACGTCACCAACAAGGCATATCTACTTTTCAGCTCCAGCATTATCTGCTATCTTTCAGTCCCTAAAACATCTTTTCATGCTCCTTACAGAGTTTCCGTTTGTATACTTTCTCCCTACTGCTCCACCCCGATAGCTTGAACTCTTCTGTCAGTCGATTTTTTCACCAACTAAGATCACCATGTCTCAACTCTTAATATTTTATTTCTGCAAAATAATAATAGTTACGGGCAAAGTCTTCCATACGACACGGATGATGGCATCAAATACGAAACTGCAGGAAAGGGCTTATAATTGTTCCTTCCATCAATAGCGTCTAGTATATTCTGCCCTCTCTATCAGCGGAGTCAGAAGCCTATCAAGATGTCCTGGGCCATAAGGGACAAAAGGCCTAATACCCCAAGGATACCTTGGATAATGTGTGCGAGTTCCAACAAGATATTTGGGTAACTTCTTGTTATATATCCCTTGCTATTCTCGAGTTTATTCTTGGTAAGCCCAGGCCATTGGCGTCTTCAATGGACCAAATTGGTACGACTACCTCAAGAGAGGGCTGCAGCTGGACAATTGTCTGACATTCAGCAGTCGGCTCGAAGTGCTAAACTCCATCGCTAATGACGGTATGGCCGTCTGTGTGTTCTTGGAGGACATTGATACCAATGCCCATCATCTCGCACCCCGTCATGTTCGCCTCCAAACAGCTCTCTCCGGTGGAAACCCGATACGGCTCAACCGAGCTGGAATGTGGAGCTCTGTACCCACATTGTACTCGATGACTTTGTCACAGGTGAAATATCTATCGATAAAGTGAGGGTAGGAGAGCTCCTACAAAACACCAGAGTAGCAGAACTAGCTCCTCTTTAGAAGAATGGCACAGGGCTTTGTAGAGCATTCTCAATACAAGTCGCTTCACGTATCGACTGTAGCGATTACCCGTCCTCGTTTATATTTGCGGAACTCGATGGCCATCGAGTATGTTTTAATGCCGGCGAGGTCATAATTGATTCATCCGCAAGGAAGACTTTTTAATGCAAGATGGAAAGCCAATCCCTGCCTATCTCCTCGTCTGGCATGTGGAACTTGACGGAAGTAAATGATGACTTAGTTCTATCATTTCAGGTATGTCGATTCTCTCTCGAGCAAACCTTTAGTGAATGAATAATACCCCAATATATATATATATATGTAGGCTTGTCGAAGAGTATGGTCAAACTCTGTCGGATGAACTGGAGACGGGCTGCTTAGAGGGTTTAAGGATGCTCGATTGGTCTCAGAATCTTAATGGAAGTGAGTTATTTTATGGGATAAGTGCCTGGAGGAGGTTGAAAAGTCGGTTGTTTCATCTTCAAGTAGTCTCCTGAGAGGTGTCCTGAGGGAATCTAACCCTGTTGATGAACGGTGCATACAGAATAGTATCCATATTAAAGTATTCGTCGCAGTAATTTTCTCGTGTACTCTATCTATCTCTATCGTTATCACTCTTTCTACTTAACGTCCATATACTGTATATGATCAAAGGCCGAACAAAGAATCAACGGCTCTGATAAGGCCCAGGCCCAGTTTTCGTCACGTGATAAGTTTCGCCGCGCGGGAGTAAGTCGAGGAAAGACATCCGCCGGGCCAGCTTCAAGGGTGAATTCGCACTCGTTAATGGGCGACAGAGTACTCTACTGGAGAGGTACCGTCTTGCGTATCCTTTGATTTTACACGGCCTAGTCACTATCAGTGGCAGAGAGAGAAACGTTCCATGACCCAGATTTCTCTCTTTCTACTCCCACTAGACACACCTACCTCTCACGACCAAGAATGCCCGGTTGCATCACGCGATGAGACTGATAGCTGGTAGCTGCAGACCTTACACACTGCATATCCGCCCAAGATGAGCGGCGCGCAAACTCGTCCGAGAGTGTCATCGTCCACCATCTCGTTAGAAAGACTGACTCCAATCCTCCAGCCCGCAATTGACGGCCTAGCCAGCTGCCGCCGTAACCCTCCAGCGTCTATCGAAGAAGCGTCCGGAGCCACCGAACATATCCTTTTAATACGTCATACGCTTATCGATGACCACCAGCCTCAAGAAGCAAAGAGCCTTTTCCGTCAGCTCAAAGGGTTCGAAAATGTCTTAGGCCTCTTAGCCTATTTGGCAGATCTATACAATCCAGACACGACGGGGGACGCGGACGGGAAACTACTTCTGTCAATTGTCAAAGATTCCTTAGGCATAGTTGCGGAAAGCTTGAAGGATGACCCAGGGAACAAACGATATTTCGGCAAACGTGATAATGGAGGAGGAATTGTGGCGTATGAACGGATACTCTCAGGCCTAGCCGTCAAACTGAGTAGCACCCAGGATGCAGAGCTCTTTTATGGTGGCCTTTTGGCTGCTGGCTTGGGGCAGGAAACCATGTCACAGTTCTTCACGACTGTTAGAAAAAAGGCAGAGGACTCTGGTTCAAACAACCTGCTTTCACTCTCCGAGTTGGTCAACCGTACTTTGGGAAATGGAGAGGTTGTAGAAAATCCAGAATTTTTTGGGGCCTTATTGCGATTATGGCTGGCACAAACCGTTGAACAGGAGACCTATCCAATCCTTCGGCTTTCGGTCCCACTATGTCTTACTCGTCTTGCTTCATTATCCCAACGGAATTGCCTTGCTCTTCATTCCACAGGAATCCTCTCTCCGCTCTTAACCCTCGTAACAGTTCCCGAACGGTCAAAGGATGAACTAGAAGCATACCTGAAATTGGCCACAATTTTATGCCAGCATGGAGTTAACTCCCTACAGGATGCTATACAACTCTACCAAAAGGCGCAAAAAGTACCACAGGTTTCCAGGTTTCTGTTAGATGCGTTGAAGTCTTCAAAAAGCCCTCCTTGCGTACACTTCGACCTTTCTTCCCATGGATACAGTTCAATTGAGCTGCCAACCTTAGGGAGGCCATTTCCATCTATCACCTCTAGTGGTTATACTCTAACCATCTGGGCAAGGGTTGACAAATTTGAACCAGACACCCATACTACACTGTTTGGTGCCTATGATGCTTCACAGACATGCTTCGTTTTAGTCTACCTTGAGAAGGACACTCATAACCTTATATTGCAAACCTCAATTAAAGGTATCAGACCCAGTGTTCGTTTCAAGGCCACCAAGTTCCTACCTGGCCAATGGTACCATATTTGCATTGTGCATAAACGGCCCAAAACACTGTCTTTATCTCGTGCACTTCTCTTTGTAAATGGTGAATTTGCAGAACAGCTCAAAGCGGACTACCCAGTTGTACCAAAAGCTCGTCCGAACCAAAAACATCCCCAAATCCAAGCGTTTTTAGGAACCCCTCGGGACCTTGCTGTTAGAGTCGGGAAAGGCATATCTTCCTCGAAATGGTCACTCGCCTCTGCTATCCTGTTTGATGAAGCGTTCAATGATGACCTTATCGCTGTGCTTTGCCATCTTGGGCCTAGATATTATGGAAACTTTCAGGATTGTCTAGGCTCTTTTCAGACATATAGGGCGTCTGCGACCTTGAATCTACGCAATGAGAACCTTCATGCTGGCAAGGAGGATCAGTCAGACATTGTTTCCGTCATTAGACAGAAAGGTAGCATTTTGATTCCTGAAAACTCTGTCCTGCTCAATATATCGCCTACTTCGGTCATGGATGATGATGACACTAATAATATTGATGAATCACAACTGGTGAAATCACTCTCAAAAAGCGCTGGCAAGTCTTTAACCCAACTTACCAAAGTTAAGGGAAATTCTGTGGTTATCAATGGAGCCGTTCCCGCAATTAATGACGCCTTAACACAACCTCATGGTGTTGCAATACTTACAGGGGATCCTGTTGTTATAGTTCCGCAATCCTTAGATGATGTGAGTTGGCGAATTGGTGGCTGTGCGGGCGTCCACCTCAGTTTAGTTGAAGCAGCAACTGCCCGCGAATCACTTCGTCTTGCCCTAGAGCTGCTCTTTGAGGCTGTACAGGACAACTGGAGAAATAGTGAGGCCATGGAAAAGGAGAATGGATATGGTATACTCGCCATGCTTCTACGAGAAAAGCTCGGGTTTGCATCACCTGTCCAGAGTTCGCCGTTGAAAACAAGTACGGTGTGCAACACTACGCAAGAACGGAATGAGGCATCTATGGAGCTTTTGATACCCATCCTTAGATTCGTAGGGTACGATTTTGAGAACCCGAAAAAATCTTTAATAATAAATCCACTGGCATACCGGATCCTACTAATTGACCTGGATATATGGAGACAAGCTGATTTACCATTGCTGGAGATATACTATTCCCAGTTCCGAACTTTCTGCCTGGAGAGCCAATATCACAGGTTCAATTCAAAACGGCTATCCAGAATGCGTATGTTCTCATCACCCTCACCCTTAGTCCTTTCCCAGTAGGTGTAAGATATGCTAATTTTGTATATGCAGGTGTAATAAAAAGGCTTATAGAGGCCCTGAAGGCAGAAATTTTCACAGCAGCAACTTTGAAGCTATTCGTGGCGGCATTCAAAAGTCTAGTGGGCGCTTGTATGACCGCAGAAGTCCTTCGTTCTGTATCGCTTTTCATTACGTTCTCTATACACTCGGCAAAGCAGCGCGTGAACCAAGCCAACAAAAACAAAACTACTCGCCTTGACATACGGTCCCGGCGACCAGGAAATTTGCACACTGATCATGTCCCCGGTTACATTTCAAAGGAACAAATTGGGGTGGAAATTTTGCGAGTTTTCACCGAGGTCTTTTGCAACAGCGAAGATACTGTCAGTATTCAAAAATTTGCGAGGACAGTCACTAATAAGGTAAATCATAACTTTCATTGCAACTCACATTGGAATTTACAGCTTACCATGTCTCGTTTCTAGTGGCTCTTATATCTCCTCTCAGAAGATAACCCAGACGTAGTGATATTGGTCACGATGATTTTATCTCGTCTGTTTATCGTCCATGGCACTGCTTATACCAAAAAATTTGCAGAGAAGACAGGTGGATTTGTGGTGATGCGCCATCGTCTTAAAAGATGGTGGAACTTAGCGCCATTGTGGCCACTATGTTTCTCAATTCTCTTCGGCCTGGATCCAGGTTTGATTAACTTGGATAGAAATTCCGGCCCCTCAGACCTTCAGCGGTTATTGTCGTCCCCTGAGACTCTCAAAGTGTCATTTCCAGAGGTTCTCCCTGTTATTACAGGAATGCTCCAGCTTGGCTTGAAAGCAACAGTGATGCCTAGGGGTAGCTCCCCGTCTATCCATCCAGAGGATGATGACAGTGTATATGTGGTTCGTCCTAGAGCGGATTCGGGGAGCAGCTCATTGCGTTCAGGTTTGTTTTATGCAATATTCTACCATTCCCTGCCTCGTAATAGTGTCCAATTTTGTTATACTGGAAAACTAACTAATTGACACAGAAGCTACCACCGCTGGGCCTGTATCTTCAGACCAGGACATTTTAAAGGCAGTTGTTGATTTTCTGGCTCGTATACATGAGAAGTCTCAAAATTTTCGAGATTTTACAGTGACATCCAATTATGTCGAAGAACTCCTGCGTGCTTTATACCCTGTAGTGGTTGGCTCCGATATAGTTAATGCGGGCTTTGAACTAGAGTCCAATTCAGAAGGGCTCAGATTTGGTGGTGACATGGTTACGATTCAACCGCTTCAAGGCGCGAGACCTATTGTGCGCACTAGCACAGTTGAGGGGACAGATACTCAAGGTAATGAGCGTGAGCTTCACCGGTCATCATCGTTTATTCTGGTATCCTCGAATAAATCGAAATATTCCCCTTCTCCTGCCCGGTTACAACAGATTGTAACGCCTGTGCACGATGCCGCAAGCCCCCACCCAACTAATCCTGTGGCCAACGATATCCTTGATATTCTTCTAGCTGTTTACACAGACCAGCTGTTCGGGCGCAAGGAGTTTCCAGGCTTGCTATTATTTGCCCGGATCCCTCCTGGATTTGTGGAACACCAGATATTTTTCGAGTCCTGGATTCTTAAGAATCTACTTGCACATCTAGAAGCAAAGATTTCGAAGCATAAGAAAATACTTATCGAACCCCGTGTGCTGAACAATCTGTCTCGGCTGCTCTCCTATGTAGCTGACGCCGTTTACGGTGGATGGTTCATTGATGGAGCAATAGCTACGTTGAACTTTATTGGTCCCGTTCTCGAATATTTACAGGAGCCAGATATTGCTTCTTTGAAAAGTGTCCGGCTTTGTAGCCAGACAATTGCAGGCATTCGCTCGACAGTGTTTCGGACCGTACTCCTACGGCTTTCTGCAGCCGAAGGGCAAAACGCTTACTCCTTTCTACAGCAGCTCACATACTGGCAAACAGTCCTTTTATCTCATGAAGAATCTCCCAACGAGCAACTGCAGCTAATATATTATTTATTATATTCCAAAATTGTGACGGAGAAAGAAGATGTGCGCGTGGCAGCAGCTGGGTTGTGGAGAATCACCCTCGTGCAAAAACCGTCAGAAACCTCTGCCATCCTTGGTCAGGCCACCCCGTCGCTCCATAGGCGGCTTTCCCTAGGCTTCCAGAAACTTGTAGGGATGGACGATGATAGCTTCCTTCATTGGATTGATGACCAGCGGGATGACCTCGACTGCTTCTTCTTTGGTGCTTTGTGCAAGGGCTGGGAAAGTTTCGTCCGTGATGAGAATACTAAGACTCAAGAAACGGCGCGTATAAGAGCATCGAAAAGAAAGGACAAATTAAGGCAATGGACGCAGATCGAGTCAGTAAATGAAGAGATCCTGCGTAAGCATGGTATCACCTTCGGACATTGGACAGCCAATATATCCGTGTCGGAAGGTTTAAAGCATCAACGAGCAGTCCAAGATCAACAAGACGATTTTAATTTCATGGCCTCTGCTTTTTCCAGGATGTTCACAAATTTGAGGCGCGAAAATGGCTTCCTAGCCACCCAAACCAAGAATAACTGGCGTCTAGATCAGACAGAGGGGCGCAGTAGAATGCGTTTACGGGTAACGCCAGATGATTCAACTGGCAAACGGGATTACCAGCCAAAAAGAAAAGTTGCCAATGATACCCCTGAAATAAAATTGGATGTTCGCACACGTACTGCGTCAAATAGTGATATCATTACTCTGTCACCATCTACTATTGTGCCTGATTCTGTCGACACAGAATCTCTTGATAACGAGGCCGAAGATAAATCAGCCACCGAGGATAGCTTTGAGTTGATAGATGAGCCAACCGGTAATGACCCTTACGAAGATAAGAATCGTAAAGTGATGAAAAATCTTCAACGAGGCGATCAAGTACAATATGTTTGCAATATCTCCCGCATTATTGGACTGGAGGCCTGCGAAGGTCTTTTGATACTCGGAAAAATCAGCCTCTATATAATGGATAATTTTTTCCAGCGCGCCGACTGCGAGATTGTCCATGTGTCCCAAGCGCATCCTGAGGAAAGAGATCCTTACGTCCGCGTGATTTCTGGCAGAGAGTCTGATGATCGGAAACACAATAACGGGGCCCATAGATCTCGAAGCTGGATTTGGGCCGACGTTGTTAGTGTGTCGAAGCGCCAATTTCTCTTCCGTGACGTTGCCTTGGAAATATTCTTCTCTGACGGGCGAAGTTACTTACTTACCCTCATCTCAGCTAAGTTACGCAACGAGCTATACAACGAGTTGACGTCTCGGGCACCTCAAACGCAAGGGAACAGCAGTTCAACAGAAGACTCGTGGCGCTTTGAAACTTTGCGCAGTGAAGGGAACAACTCACAATTCTTTGGATCAAAACTTGTAAACGTCTTCAGCCAGATGCCTTCACACCCAGCAACACGGAAGTGGCTGAAGGGCGAGATGTCAAATTTCCATTATCTGATGCTCGTCAATACACTTGCAGGCCGAACTTTCAATGACTTGACTCAATACCCTGTATTTCCGTGGGTGCTTGCTGATTATACCAGTGAAGAACTCGATCTTACAAACCCAAGAACTTTCCGCGACCTTTCGAAACCTATGGGATGTCAGACGATAACGCGCGAGGCAGATTTCAGGAGCAGATATCAGTCATTTGCAGAAATGGGTGACGAAAACGCTCCGCCCTTTCACTACGGGACTCACTATTCTTCTGCTATGATTGTGTGTTCATACCTGATACGACTCCAGCCATTTGTAAAATCTTATCTACTCCTACAAGGTGGAACATTTGATCATGCTGATCGCCTGTTTTTCTCGATTCCCGATGCGTGGAACTCTGCATCACGGCTGAATATGACCGATGTTCGAGAGTTGATACCTGAGTTTTTCTACTTGCCAGAATTCCTGTCAAACTCCAATAACTATGACTTTGGGATACGACAGAGTACAGGCCAATCTATTGACTCTGTGGAGCTTCCTCCATGGGCAAAAGGAGATCCAAAGATTTTTATAGCTAAACATCGTGAGGCGCTTGAAAGCCCGTTTGTTACCCGCAATTTACATCAGTGGATTGACTTGATCTTCGGTACTAAACAACGAGGCGAAGCGGCCCTTGAAGCCGTTAATGTTTTTCACCATTTGTCTTACCGTGGCGCCAAGGACCTTGACAGCATTGAAGACCCCATGGAGAGATTAGCAACCATAGGAATTATTCACAACTTTGGCCAGACTCCCCATCAGGTATTTCATAAACACCATCCAGGCCGGGAAGAGATCCAAAACAAACCTATTCGCCTAGATAGCTCTGCAGATTCATTAACCCGTCTACCATTTACTCTATTAGGTATGATTATATCTCAGACACCTTCCCCTATACTTTATTCTAATTTAGCCTCTACCGTTAGATATTCAAGAGCGAGTGTCTTCCCTGTCTTTCTCAGTAAAGCAAGACCGCCTCCTATGTGCAGCAGCATTTCGGCTTAACATCCCCCCAGCATATGACCGATATATGGAGTGGGGATTCTCGGATGGCAGCGTCCGTTTTTATGCAGCCGAGTCAAGAAAGGTACAGCATACGCTCCTTAATAAGGATAAAATGAACCCTAATACTAATTTACATTCATAGTTAATTGGCCACTTCGAACATGTCCACATCGGCCAGCTTTCTTCTGCGATTTTTGCCGATTCCCAGACCTTGATTACTGCTGGCACCGATTGCACCATAGCCGTCTGGTCATTCACATCAACATCTCGATCTGTTGATCTCCTGCCAAAAGCCTCCCTTTTTGGTCATAGGTCACCTGTCACCGTCCTTGCTGTTTCAAGGTCATTTAGCACGATTTTATCTGCTTCTAAGGATGGTCAAGTCATGCTATGGGATCTTAATCGACTAGAGTTTTTAAGAGAATTATCAACTGGACCACCAGTTAGCGTAAGATACAGCCCCCGAGCCATTGGTTGCTACCTTTTGACTGACTCACCATTCCAGTGCGCCCGGATCAATGATGTAACAGGAAATATTGCTGTTTGCCGTGGCAATATGGTGTGCCTTTTTACTTTGAACGGTACTCTTCTTCTCGAAAGGCCTGTTTGCGAACAGTCAGACGATAATGTCCTCTCCTGTGCTTTCTATGAAGGGGCTGGCAATGAGTGGTTAGAACGCGAACTATTTTTCACAGGCCATCGGAAGGGTCTAGTAAATGTAAGTCACCGATTTAGACACAGCTTTATTCTCTATGCTACTAATAATAGCTACTAATGTGATACTGAATAGATATGGAGCAAGTGCATCAGAAATGGGGTGTTTGAGCTGGATCTCATTCGTCAGCTTCACCACGTAAACACTTCGCGTGGCGATGGAGCAGCAGCTCTTGCAGGAATCACATGTGTTCTTCCCCTCTCACATGTTGTATATACGGGTGATGAATCGGGGCAAGTTTATGAGTGGAATTGTGTGCAGCGTCATTAGAGACTCAAGCAAGGAAATTACTGGTTGACATTCTGTTTAACTTATAGACGATTATGATTATGATAAGGATCTGTTGTTCAAAGCATACTTGGCTAGACTGTGAGGATATTACAGCAGCGCCGGTCAGCTCTCAATTTCGGGCAAGAGACGCCTGGATTTAACAATTTAAAAGAATCCACGGTGATTTCCCGGGCTTCAGCGATGGAGCTGCATTTGTCTCTGGCATTTGATTGTATACGGAAGGAGCAGACCACCCCTAGGACGGAGCACTGCAGCAAAGGCGAGTTATGGCAGCAATGGCAAAACAGTGGAAGCCGGTAATGCATCTTATAAATTTTTAAAATTATTCTTTCCCCATATACCCTAGAACAATGAGCTCTGATGTTGTGTTCCAGCACATCAGTTTCTATATTCGCTGGATCTAAAAATATTGCAATCCAGACCCGCTTTACCGCACCATTTAGCGCCAAAAGTAAACTCAACTACGCGCGGAAACTCCACATTGGCCGCATAACGCGCGGCCCGTTGGCCAGGTTGACTGCAAGTCAATCCAAGTTGCACTCGGGAACGGTTGCGGCTCCTTAGCTCAAAAATACTGCATTCCCGGCATGGATAGTTAGTGGTTAGTTATAACCCTAGCACAAACTTCACTAAGCCTGAAGTGAAGGTTGAATGGTGGAATTTTTGCTGCTCATCCGGCACTCTCCCCGATTTTCAGAAATAGCCTAATCTGGATGGATCATACCATATATATCAATTGTTGGCGGCAGCTACTCATCAACTGCCGCAGCCAACAGCCTAACTATGGTGTTCTGGAAAATGTCAATAAAATAAAACAACCTAGGGTTGGATGGTTGTAGTGACATTTGGGCAGGCACAATCACTTGTTTAAGTACTAGAAAGCCTCCTTTTCCAGCCCTAACTAATGCCATTTTGGCCCCCAAGTTCCTGATACCCAAGCGCCATCGCATAACAATGAGGTTCCTTTTCTTAACCCTCGTCCACTTAATGTGGTATCAAGGCGGATTTAAACTAAGTCCCATCTACCCCAATGATACCCACTGGTGTTAAGGGCAAAGGAATAAATTATGTTGCTTTCCTGCTTGTTCCGGAAAATTTGCTACCCAAAACGACAGTATCTATCGTGTCTCCTACTTCCCATTGATATTCAAAAGAGTTTTCTATTGGCAACATCGGTAAAATCGTGGATTATATGATTTATGTGACCAATGATCTCCACAATCAGGTATTAAACTCCCTCTTCTAGCCCGTATCAACTCGAATATTTCTGATCAGTACTAATAGCTATTAATGGGATGCTCAGAATCCATTATCACAGCCTGGGTGCCCTTTTGGAATGTATCTTCACAACATTATTAATTTGACAAAGACAATCAATATACTGTCCATGATAAGTGGGACAGAATATTATAGTTCATTCTGCCATGATGGAGAAACAGACTTACAGTACGCAATTAGTCTCGGGAACGTTACCATCCGCTAAAGATTCCTCAGAGGATGAGCTCAAGGGGAGCGCTGTTGGTTTCACTGGAAAAACTACTAGCATTTAGAAGGGCTTGTTTATGAATCCCATAACGTAAGTCTCCCTCCCGACATGAAAGCAGCCTCTACTTTAAGCATCAGGCTTCAAGTGTGAGATAGTCGATCCGCCCAGAGAAGTATTTAGGTGTGTAGATGATGCATATGACGGCTAGCTGTTTGATGATCAGCTTTACTGTGTGTGTTCTCCAAAGTGCAAGGCGTGGACATACGCGAGCATATCTCATAGACCAGGACGTTACGACTCCAGGGTCCATCTGCATGCCGGTATGCAGTCCTGCCATGGCTTTTAGATCATGGCGAGGGATCTCCATTGGTGTCTGACTGCCTCGAAACTGCCAAGGAAATCCAGGCCAATATTACTACATTTTGGGAAGAGAAAATGCAATTGGAACCCAACACAAAATTAACGACCATGGGACCTGCAAATTTGGTCTCAAACGCAAAGGAAGATCCGGAAGTATCAACTTTTTCGTTGGAGAGCAGGGTGTGATATATATCATCAACGATTCAATCAAACAGTTTGAAGAGTTAGGAAGAGTTGCCCCCAACGGAACCATGGCATGTAGAGGGACTTTCAAGAGGCAGGCCGTTGAGTGGGGGGTATGCATAAGTAGGACTGCGGCCAACTACTCCCGTTGACCCCATTCTATACTTCCCCCCACGGCTAGGCCTGGATGTACGGAGTACTGACCGATGTTTATAATGTAGCTTGCTTTCCCGAGATATAGTCCTAAGCACTTGAACGCTTCGTTACGCATCCATTGTGGTGCAGCTAGCTGGGATGTCTGCAAATGCTAATGTTTCCAAATAGTGGTTGATCACAGAACTGTAACTAGCGAATCAAACATCGAGCCGTTCACTTCACCGCTTGCATTAAGTTTTGAGCCTTCACTTGTGTTTTCTATAACCTAGCCCTTTGTTAAAGTAACAGGAATATGTTTGCTGATGAGACACATTCATTTGGTCATTTGACACCCATGGTGACCGTATGCGGCTCCTCTCGGAGTCACTAATGGAACCAATGGACGGACTAGCTCGGCAAGAGCTGAAGAGGGTATCCGTGAAGAGTCTGATGACCACTATACCATTGACTTGATGATAACACAGCCCCTGAGACTTTGGCATAACGCTAAGCAGCTACCAAACTCTCAGCTGTCCAGTGGTTAGATGTGCAACGTCGCAGCCTTTTTATATCCCAAATAAGCGCGGCGGAAGCTCAACCGAAACGCTTTCCGCGGGGTTACGCCCGAGAGCAGGCCTGCCCCACCAAGGGAAAAAGACCGCGGGCTGCTTAGTGATCCAACCAGCCAAAGGGAGCTTGCCACCTCTGTCGGCGTTAGGTTTATATGAACCACGGCGCCCGCTTCAGGAGTCCATCTTCATTCCAACTTCGATTTCATCGAGACATCATCAATTCTTCATCTTCACCCTTCGCAGTAACAGCCGGACTGACCTGCTGAATCTACTCCGAAACCTTCCGCGACCATACGTAACAGACAAGTTGGCAGCACTACACATTCCAGCAAGATGTCTACTTCCCTTGATCAATTGAAGGCCTCTGGCACGGTAAGTTTGGTTGCCTTTCTTGCAATTCGCCTCCATGGAAGCCCTGGCTGATGATAGAGTAGACTGTCGTTTGCGACTCCGGTAAGACTCGAGTGGCTTGATATGACGAGAGATGAGTGATGAGGGGCCGGATGAGGGGCATCATCCGGGTGAAGAAGATATACAGGCTAACGTGAAGCTGTTGGGCGAATACAGGAGACTTTGCAAGTAAGTTACAGCTACGAAAGTCGTACAGCTTGAAGCAAGTCCGCAGTTCAAGTTGTTGATGTTGAACCCGGCACATCCGTGGCTGACAAGGGCTCTCCATCTTTTAGCTATCGGCAAATACAAGCCTCAGGATGCTACCACCAACCCTTCCCTTATCCTCGCTGCTTCCAAGAAGCCAGAGTACGCCAAGTTGATGGATGCTGCCATTGAGTATGGCAAGCAGACCGTATGTTTGAAGCTGGCCTACTTGACTTGTCTACGGATGATAAGATGGGAATACGCTGGCTAACCGCTATGACAGGGCTCCAACATTGATGAACAAGTCGACGCCGCTTTGGACAGACTACTCGTCGAGTTCGGAAAGGAAATCCTCGCCATCATTCCAGGAAAGGTCTCTACCGAGGTTGATGCCCACTACTCGTTCGACACTCAGGCTTCCGTCGACAAGGCCCTCCGCATCATCAAGGTATGCTCCAACTCTATATAAAGCGGGTAATTGGGGGCCAAGTACTTACTGTATACAGCTCTACGAGTCCGTCGGTATCAGCAAGGACAGAATCTTGATCAAGGTTGCTTCTACTTGGGAAGGTATCCAGGCTGCCCGCATCTTGCAGTCCCAAGGCATTAACTGCAACTTGACCCTCATGTTCTCCCTGGTCCAGGCCATCGCCGCCGCCGAGGCCGGTGCCTACCTTATCTCCCCCTTTGTCGGCCGAATCCTCGACTGGTACAAGGCTGCCATGAAGCGAGAGTACACCGCCCAAGAGGACCCAGGTGTCAAGAGCGTGCAGAGCATCTTCAACTACTACAAGAAGCACGGCTACAAGACCATTGTCATGGGTGCCTCGTTCAGAAACACCGGTGAAATCACTGAGCTTGCTGGATGCGACTACCTGACCATCTCCGTATGTCCCCTCCACTACCCCCCTCAGAGTTGAAGCAAATTAAAAAAAGAAAAATACTAACGGAAAGTATCAATAGCCCAACCTCCTTGAAGAGCTCTACAACTCCAACGCCGCTGTGCCCAAGAAGCTCGACCCAGCCGGTGCCGCTAGCCTCGACATCCCCAAGCGCAGCTACTTGGAAAACGAGGCACTTTTCCGCTTCGATTTCAACGAGGAGCAGATGGCCGTCGAGAAGCTCCGAGAAGGTATCTCCAAGTTCGCTGCTGATGCCGTCACCCTCAAGGGTATCCTTAAGGAGAAGATCCAGGCCTAGGTATTTAGGGTTTCCTAAATTGGCATCTTCTTTGTCCGTTCCTTGTTTTATGCTCTTCCATCGTAACTACGCAACGATGACAAATTGACATGAGACTGCAGCGATTATTACGAAAACGCCTTCACCCTCTTTGCGTTCCGTCCTTTAAAAACCCTTAAATATATGTATCTAGTTAGCTAAGTATGAAACCCCTCGATAGAAATGAACAGCTTGCAGCAGCAACCAGAAATAACCAATCAGAGCCTTCTTCAGCAAGTAAAGAAACCTTAAATGTCAATCACGTGTTGTTATTGAGGAATGAATTAGTCATCATGAGGGGCAACTTATTACGTCATCGGTGATAGTAGCAGAAAAAAATAAAACAAGAAAAGCTGGTGATGAAGTAGAAGGAGATGGAGTTGAAGACGATGAGGATGAAGACGTAGATAGATGTGATTAACACGTAGATAAATGTTAGTAGATGGAAGCCATAAGCAATTGCCAATAGTGATGCCGTTTTCAAGCAGCTATGGCGAGCCAAAAGGCCCGACCGAGGGTAGCATCAAGTTCGGCCGCAGGGAGCGTACGGAGTAAGGAGAGGACGAGAATGAAAGACAAGGGCGAGGCCGGGTTGTTTACATGTCCACCCCCACCATCGGCCAGTTTCTGCTTACGAGGGGAAACAAACAAGGCCTTGCCTGGCTTTTCCCTCGTCTGCCATTCCTTCCGCCCTCCGTCTTTTTCGTCTTCTCGTCTCTCTCATTCTCGTCCCATCAACCGAACATCTGTACAAACGAACAACCACCCGAAGCACCAAAAAAGGATAAACAAAACACACTTCTTAAAAGAAACACTCCTCCACAATGGTCAAAGCAGGTGAGCTAAGCAACGTCACATCTCCCGCCGCCTCCATCCCTGTCGCCCTGGTGAGAGAATTTGAGCAGGACTGCCAGCCGCCTCTCGCACGTCCAGTGGTGCCTGCCTGCCGCTGCTCTGCTCTGCCGCCGTGTCTATCAAGGTAGCTCGGGGGTGGAGGACGAGGCAGGGCTATAAATACCTTTAGGTTCCTGCTGTTTGCTGACGCCTTCTTGCTTGTGTAGTTGCTGTCGTGCGTGGTGACTCCAACGTCAAGGGCACCGTCACTTTCGAGCAGGAGTCGGAGTCCTCGCCCACCATCATCAAATGGAACATCACGGGCCATGATGCCAACGCCCAGCGTGGCTTCCACATCCACCAGTTCGGTGACAACACCAACGGCTGCACCTCTGCCGGTCCTCACTGTAGGTCATGACAGCCTCTTTCCCAGCTTCTGGGCCATCTATGCATATAGATGGCTTGAGGTCGGGTATAAGCATTCTGATGATATGCAGGTGCTAATATGGAGATCAGACAACCCCTTCAACAAGACCCACGGTGCTCCCACCGATGAGGTCCGCCACGTTGGTGACTTGGGAAACATCAGCACTGATGCTCAGGGCAACGCTGTCGGATCCACCGAAGACAAGCTTATCAAGCTGATCGGTGAACACAGTGTCGTTGGCGTATGTACTCCCCCCCTTTGTGATTGGTAAAGGAAGGCTTGTAGCTAACATGGTGTTTAGCGTACCATTGTCTGCCACGCAGGTACCGACGACCTTGGTAAGGGCGGAAACGAGGAATCCCTGAAGACTGGCAACGCTGGTCCCCGTCCTGCATGCGGTATGCTTGATTTTTTATAAGCTAGCATAGTCGGACATCGCTAACTGGTCTCTTCTAGGCGTCATTGGTATCTCTGCATAGGCACCAAATCCACTTGCATGAACGCTTGCTCCGTGCGTGTACTCTGTACCTGTCTAGAACCGGGGAGAGGAAAAAACTCATGAAGTTAATACAATATAATTAATGAAATTGATATGATGGCCACCCACCCTTCAGTGCATACTCTTTTATAGCGTAGAGCATGAGCGATAAAAGTTTTGACTACCCGTAGGCGAGTAAATTCTATGCTAGAATTAGGTAGATAACTAGTTAAGCCCTGGCAGCCATCCGGATCTACAATGGAGCTTCTGGATGCTGTTGTCTTCGCCTCTAGCCAGCGGCCAAACAGCTAGTTCGGTGCTTGAAGGAAGATTTCAAGGCGAGAAAAGTTGATGGACGTCGCTAATTACCCGATCTGGACGCCTGCCTGTTTGAGAAATCATGTGCAAAACACTCGACTTCCATCTCTTAATGTCAACTTCCAACGTCAACGTCAACTTCATCAACGTCAGCTCACAATTTCAACTTCCCACCGATTGCGGTGCTTGTCAGGTTAATGTCAGGTACTCCGTAAAATGTCAGTTAATTTAGTTTATGTGGTACGGAGCGCCTGTGCCTGACTGCTATGGCCTAAGCCCATTCTTTGCGGGTTTCGACCTGTGTGAGTTACGCCCCTTGAATAGTCCGATGCACGATCGACGCCCACGCCTCTGCGTCGCGTATCATATCAGATAGCTCACAATGCTTACCGTTTTCCCCTCATAGTCTTTCCCGCATAGCCAGACAGCCGAGGGAGAGTGCTTCGTACCTGGTTGATATCCTTCTTGGACGGGCCGTGGAGATTTTGTTTCGAGAGACGAGAAGGATTTTCAGCTCGACAGACAACGGAACATTCGGCACGGGATGCTCTGCGGCCATCCTGGCATAAAAGACGTTGTACATGCTTAGTAGCGAGGTAAATTGGTTTTTTAATACCTTGGGTGGGAATACGAACCTACTGGACAGATACGCTACTACAGTACGGAGAAGTTACGGGGTTTAACAACTTAAGCCAGCGTCACATGGATCAACAACCATAACGTTGGACAAGGATATCGAAATGGAAATCAGCTCGCCTATTGAGGAGGAACAGAGACCAATCGACTTCCTCTCTGAAAGCTGAATTTAACCAGCCTCAACGCGCCACAAAACCGGGGCGGGAAGCAGCAAGAATTAAAAACTTTATGGCATAATTTCCTCTCATTAAAAATGAACCTCGGGGTTCTTTTGCTCCCGAAGCCGCGCTTAATCCCTTGATTTGCCATCAACCTCACGTTTATATTGGAAAGCGTTACGACGGAGAAGGCGGTCTTTGCTCAAATCCCACACCGGTATCCGCACCTGCACGCTGTTGGAACAGCAATTTTTTTCTTTTTCTCCTTTTTCTGGCCCTGCCCCTCTCAGGCAATCTCTAGGACCCAGTTTGGGTTTTAAGCACCACGGCCGGTGACGGACCAAAATCGGCCCCAAGGCTGGGCCTCGACATGAATCATGAGCACCGGAGTTGTTCTACGGAGTACTCTTGCACTTGCAAGCACTTCTACTCAAATCCAGTTTCTGCATTTGCTTTTTTTGTGCTCGAGCTTGATTGCTTGAATAATAGGTTGAAGTCTCCGCCGTCCATGCTGTCCCAGAATCGCGGGAGCCGGGACTGTCTTTTATTCCTTTCGAGCTCTATTTCTTGTCATACCTTTAGGCTGATCAACTATTGCTAAGGGAGCAAGAGAAGCACGTACTTTCTGGCTGGTGCTCTTTCATGACTTGCAGACATTCAACGTGTTGATGCATGCCTTCGTTAGCAATAAATATATGATTTTATCTTTGTTGTTCTAATCTCTTCAGTTTTTGCTTGAGAAACGGGCCAGGCTGAGCGATCAGCACCCTGACAATATCCCCAGGTATTTTCACGCCTTCGCAAGGACCGCTACGATCCCCAACTCAACGCGGGAAAGGAAGGCCCTGGGTTTCGGCTATCTGAGTGTCCCCGGGGAAGACGGTCTTGCGACAGTTATTTAACCAGTCAATAGCCAGCAGTATAACTATAATCAACTGGACGGGCTGTGCACGATAATAGGGGGAGACAGCTTCCAAAGAATGCGATCACCCTCACAACTGTGGTAATGGACCCGCGCAACGTCCCAATCCCCAGCTTCCCGACTCCCGTGATGGACGGAGACGATGTCTTATATGCGCTTCAAAGACGTCAACAGGCATGGGGTTCTCCGAGAGGAGGTGACGCTCCTCCAAGTTTTACACAACTACATCAACCACCGCTGCAACTGCAACCGGAAGAGCAGTTCTCTCGTTTTTCAGCTGCCCGCCAGCAATTCTCCCTTTCATCCATACACCCACCCATCCAACCAACTCCCGTTCTAGAACCCCCAACTCCTCCGCGACCTCAGGCAGTAGCTCAGGTACCTCTGCCTCCAAAGCGGTCCCCCATAGCACATGGGAGGCGAGAATCGACAAAAAGTACTGGATCAAATTATACGTTGGCATGTCTAAATTGTCGCTCCAAGAAGATCAAGTGCCTGCTTGAAGAGGGAGGCTGCAAGAAATGCAAGAAGCTCGGTATCCCCTGTCCTGGTCCAGAGGTGGACGAACGCAAACGTCCCTCCTCAAAGAGACATATTCGCGAGTTACACCAACGCATCCACGACCTGGAAGTTGCTCTAAAGCAGAGCGAGGCTCTACGCAAAGCCCAGGCACAAAATTTCCATACAATCCGTGGGATTGCCCAGTTCTCACCACCGGAATCTCCGGTATCCTTACTCCGGCAAAAGGTGCCGGATAACATTATTGCACGTCTCTGCGATGGGCGATACCAACTAAACTATGATTCTAACGGACAGCTGCGATATTTTGGCCCGACCTCGAGCTTACACCTGACCGACACGGTGGCAACGTCTATCGTTCGGTCCTGGGGAGAATACCAAGTTAGCCCTAAGATAGAGGTTTGCGAGATCGATGCTGAAACCCAAGATTACTTGCTGAATCTCTACTGGAAATTTCAGCACACCGAGCTTCAAATCCTTCACAAAGATGCATTTCTTCATGATATGGCAACAGGACAGACGAAATTTTACAGCAAGGCACTCTTGTACTGTATCATGTCTTGTGCCGCTCGCATTTCACACAGACCTGAGATCCGTGCGATGGTACTGACGCCTGGACTCTCGGCAACTGATGAACTCCCACCTCTATTCGCTGCTGCTTCAAAGCTAGTTGACGAAGAGTTGAAAAACCCACAAATCACAACGATCCAGTGTTTGCTGCTGTTATCGGTGATTTACTGTGCTTTCTCTCAAGACACAAAGGGCTGGGTTTTGACGGGTATGTTTTATCGACGACAGGCGAAACAGAGGAGAAATAGTTTAACTGACGATCTACTTAGGGACGGCATGTCGGTTGGCTATAGATTTGGGCTTACATCGCGATTGCTCCTCCCACACAGATAAATTTTCTCCAACGGACATTGAGGCACGCTCGATTACATTTTGGGGTTGCGTCATATTCGACAGGTAAGATGACCTGCATTGGCGTGCCCATTCGTTATATATTTGACATTCTAACATGCTTATGTAGATTGTGGTCACTCTACCTTGGTCGCCAGTATTGTTTACGTCTTGATGGAGAAGTGACAGTGCCTCGGCCGGCGGCGACGGCTGCCGTGAGCGGGATGATAGCTACCTGGGAAGCTCGGTTAGCCGATGCATGGAGCAGCTTGCTCGAAATTGTCGGCTTCATCTGTGAATCTTTGTGGGTACCCGCTATCCCGGTCTTGGATTAGACAAGGAGCTAACTAAATAGGAATCAAAATAAATGCACTATGAGTCGGGTCAACGAGCTGGGTGAGCGCCTCAAGACGTGGTATAGCGGACTTGACCCTTCGTTGCAATACCAGAGCAACTCACCACCCTCGGTCTCAGTGATGCAGTATGGCCCTCCCCACTGTTCCGTATCATTTATCACGTTAAACTTACATATAAACAATTTATAGCATGCAATACTGTGCCGCAGTCATCTTATTGTATAGACCTCTCGCAAATTTCGGCATAGAAACCTCAGAGAGGAGCGATTACTCAACCCAATTCCGTCTCATCTGTGTCAAGCATGCCATGGATGCCACTCGATATATGGAAGACTACCGAGCTAACCATGGCAATGCAACCACCCTCAGTGGTATCAGCCTGCACATCATATCGACTGTCTCGACGACGCTTATTGCCGATATAACAGAACGGCGACACGCAGACGTCAGCCGAGAATTCCACTGTTTGATAATATGTGTTCGGACATTGCTCGAGCTAGAACAGACCTACCTTGTTGCTTTGCAAGTCCGAAAAGTTATTGAGGTGGTTATCCGGATATGTAATCTTGAAACCCACGAGTTACAAGTTGCGTCTCTGTTACCTGAGGGGTTCCATATCGGAGCTTCGTTTACACCGACATCGTCTGCTGGCCGGACGGAAAGTTCTCAAGACGAAGACACCAGAGGCACAGAACAAGACTCAGATTCGAGTATCATACTACAACGGTTCCGCGGAGATGCTCCGCCGCCACCCATCACCGATGCCATACAGATGCCGGAACCGCCTTACATGGGGATGGCATACAACCCCTTTCCGCTTCTTGAAGGGATGCAAGTACATCCTCATCCGGCAACGATGGCTGGTGATATACATGTCACCTACCCATGTACTCAATAGTTGTTACGTTTAGCACTCAAAGTCACGATACTGTTTTTTCTCTTATACCTGACGGTGTATGGGCGGGAGGGTTCGGTTTGAGGCGTTTAATTAGCGAGCTGGATAGCATATCGGGGGGCTTATTCTTGTTCTTTCATCCACCCATCCAATTTGGCGGATAGCGGTCAGCCCATGAGAAAATATATTGGTCCTAATTATTCGGCTAGATTCATGTTTTATAGTTCCTTTTCTTTTTTTTCCTTTTCTTTCATTCTTTGTCTCTCCTCTCTAACGACAGATACGTATAATTGTTTTTCTTTTCTTTCTTTTATTCGGGAGGAGTTGTGAGTTCTAATACAAAATACCCCTATTGTATACTTCAAACACCTACCAGGCTAGGCTGTAAAAACATAGCAGTTTATCAAGACAAGATAAGGGTCCAGGTTACCTTAGATGCTGGCATTTCATGGCCTGATGACACCACTTACCAAGACCCTCTTGACGGCAGGGAAGGAATGCGGCTGTGGCAGCGGCACGGAAGAAGCGGAGATCAATTAAAATAGGCACGGGACGTCTTCCTTCAGAGGTTCGACGGGCTGAAGATGCACAGGAGCAAGGCTGGAATGGCTGAATGGCATCAGCAGATGGTGTGACTGGCTTGTTGTCTTGTTGCCTTGCGGCCGTTGAATTTTATATTGATTCGCTTGATTTGGTGGAAGCTACGGGACCACCAAGTACTCCGTGGTAGTGCCGTCTTTCCTGCTAGTAGTGTGACTTCGTAGAGAATAGGCCTGTATCCCGAGATATACCTAGGTAGCCATCGTTAGTGGCTATCGGATGCCTGTTATTGGTATGTGAATAGCTCAGATACTTACCCTGCAAGACGACGGTCTTGAAGCTCTAGCAGGGCAACTACTAAAATCAAAGGTAAATATAACACATGAAGCATCGATTCTCCAAGTATTATCAGTCCATGCTCTGGATGACGTTGTTGCCATTGATATCAATATCAGCTTGGTGGTGATGATGTTGATACTCGCGATGTGGCTTAACCCCGGATTTCCCTGTGCTGTTTTATCCCCCTGCGGCCAGACCAAAACGGCCAAACACACACAAATCACCAAACGTGGTCTCACTTTCTGCACCCACAACTAAACAACACTTCCCCCCTGGCTTCACCACCCCTTAGAAGCTCTACCTCGACTCAGCCATCCCTTACTCTACTTCCTTTCCTATAGTTATTATTCATTTTACTTAAATAAAAAGAAAAAAATACGTCCGCTGCCACTTTCTCCCCGCACACGCCACAATGCCTCTTCTGGAAGCCCGAGTTAAGAGCGTCTTGTCAGGGGACACAGTGGTGCTCACTCACGTCTCGAATCCAACTCAGGAACGCATCTTGAGCCTGGCCTACGTTTCTTCTCCGAGACTGAAGAGAGAAGGAGACGAGGTGAGCTGTGCCATTTCGTTATTAATTTCCAACTGCTTGCGTTGGACATGCTAGCTATTGCATCTGGACAAGCTGCAGAACTACGCCCCTCCCCTTTGTATATGCAGATAATAACGATTTCAAGACTGTCTGCTGATCCAATGAAAATTTTTCTTACTAGCCGTTCGCATTCCAATCTCGAGAATTCCTACGTGAGCTCCTCGTCGGCAAGGTAGTACAGTTCCAGGTTCTGTATGCCATCCCCACCGGTGCCAAAAGGGAGTACGGAATCGTGAAGATCCCCGGTGCCAATGGCAAGGACCTGCCTGAGCTCTGTGTCTCCGAAGGCTGGGCCAAGGTTCGAGAAGATGCGGGCAGGAGAGACGAGAGCGAGGATGCGGCTGTACTGCTGAACAGCTTGAGAGAGCTCGAGACTCGTGCTAAGTCAGAGTCGAAGGGTGTCTGGGCGGGAGACGACAAGATTGACATGGCATATGAAGTGAAAGATCCACAGGAACTACTTGAGAGCCTAAAGGGGACTCCAATTGACTCAGTGGTGGAAAAAGTTCTGAGCGGTGACAGGTTCCTGATCCGACTGCTGATTTCTCCCAAGAAGCATGTCCAGACGCTGGTGGTTGCAGCTGGTATCCGTGCACCAGCTACCAAACGAGTAAACCCTTCTGATGGATCAGAGCAACCGGGAGAGCCATATGGTGACCAGGCACAGATGTTTGTTGAAATGAGACTGTTGCAGAGAAAGGTCAAAGTCACATTGCTTGGATTGACCCCTCAGAACCAGCTCGTGGGTACTGTTCTACATCCTGTTGGAAATATTGCCAAATTCCTTTTGGAGGCCGGTCTTGCGAGATGTGCGGACCATCACTCTACGATGTTGGGAGCCGATATGGCTATCCTTAGACAGGCAGAGAAGACCGCCAAAGACGCTCGCAAGGGGCTATTTACCAGCCATGTTGCCCCCAAGGCAGCGGCTGCATCTGCAGATACTGATCTAGTGGTTAGCAGGGTACTGAATGCGGATACCATCTTCCTGAGAAACAAGGCCGGCGCTGAGAAGAAGATAAGTCTTAGCAGTGTCAGACAGCCAAAGCCATCAGACCCCAAACAGGCACCGTTCGGAGCAGATGCCAAAGAGTTCCTCCGAAAGAAGCTAATTGGCAAGCACGTAAAAGTTACCATCAACGGAAAGAAGCCAGCTTCAGAAGGATTTGAGGAACGAGAGGTTGGTACCGTTTTGGTTGGCAATGCCAATGTGGCCATCAGTCTGGTAGAAGCTGGTTATGCATCCGTCATCCGTCACCGTAGGGACGATGACGACCGATCCCCTGACTATGATGCCCTCCTACTTGCTGAGGAGAAGGCGCAGAAGGAGGAGAAAGGCATGTGGTCCTCCAAGCCTCCCAAGGTCAAGCAGTTCCAGGACTACTCCGAGAACGTCCAAAAGGCCAAGATGGAATGTTCTGTTCTCCAGAGACAGAAGAAAGTCTCTGGTGTGGTCGACTTTGTCAAGTCCGGATCACGATTCACCGTCCTGATACCGCGAGACAATGCTAAGCTGACCTTTGTCCTTTCTGGAATCCGCGCCCCCAGGTCAGCCAGGAACGCCAACGAAAAGTCTGAGCCCTTTGGACAGGAGGCCCATGACTTTGCTAACCGCAGGTGCATGCAGCGAGACGTTGAGATTGACGTTGAGACCATTGACAAGGTTGGCGGCTTTATCGGAACCCTCTACGTCAACAGGGAGAACTTTGCCAAACTTCTAGTGGAGGAAGGTCTTGCAACAGTCCATGCCTACTCTGCCGAACAGTCTGGCCATGGAACCGAGCTGTTTGCAGCCGAGCAGAAGGCAAAGGAGGCCAGAAAGGGTCTCTGGCGAGACTGGGATCCCAGCCAGGACGCAGAGGACGACGAAGGCGCACCCGCTGCTGGCAGTGGTGCTGCTGGAGCCGGCGCAGGCGCAGAGGCACCCGCACGAGGAAGAGACTACCGTGACGTCATGCTCACACACGTCGATGAGGACGGCAAGTTGAAGCTACAGCAGATCGGAGCTGGCACCACCAACCTCACAGAGCTGATGGACTCATTCCGATCATTCCACATCAACAAGGCCAACGACAAGCCCCTTGAGGGTCCACCCAAGGCCGGAGAGTTCGTTGCCGCCCGGTTCACGGAAGACAACGAGTGGTACCGTGCTAAGATCCGACGCAACGACCGTGAAGCCAAGGAGGCCGATGTCGTGTATATCGACTACGGCAACTCGGAGAAGGTCCCTTGGTCGAGACTGCGACCGCTCGCTCCCCAGTTCTCCCAGCAGAAGCTGAAGGCCCAGGCCGTCGATGCGGCCATGTCCTTCCTGCAGTTCCCTACCTCCCCTGAGTACCTCAAGGACGCCATACACTTCCTAGCCAGCCAGACTGTCGACCGCGAGCTGGTTGCCAACGTCGACCATATCGCTGACGGCGTCCTGTATGTCACACTACTGGATGCCTCTGCCTCTCAGAACCTGGAGCAGAGCATCAACGCCGAGGTAGTGCGTGAAGGCCTGGCGATGGTCCCCCGTAAGCTGAAGCCGTGGGAGCGCGCCTGCACCGACACGCTGGCTAACCTCCGCAAACTGGAGGAGGAAGCAAAGCAAGAAAGAAGAGGAATGTGGGAGTACGGTGATATCACCGAGGATTAATCTCTTCCTTTTTTTCATATATATACACTGGCAGACGCACTCCCGGCATTTGAAAAGGGGTATCAAAAAATAACCATATTTAAGCACTGCTGTATAGCGAGAATGAAGTCAAATGCATACTTCTCCGAACCCCGAGCCTCTCCGTGCGTTCTCCGTAGTTCTATAAGTAATGCATCAATAATCAAGTATCTCCAGCCCGAACTCTGTGGCGTCGGGGTCTTGATGTGTACCCCCCCTGATCCTGCATCCCGGGGGGGTCACCAAGCCCAGCAGCCCCCGAGATGCCGGCCTCGCCCAGCGCCCTCGAGCCTTCTCTCGCCTATGACTCTTGTCTCCAGTCGTATACTCCGTACCGACCTTGCTACCGACTGAGCCTCTTGTCCGGTTGACTCCTCCCTGGGCCTAAAGTACTTCTTCTACCTGAGCAACCTGACCCAGCCTGATCAACCCAACCGTGGATCCCAGCCTCAACCTTATAGCTGCAAACTAGTTAGTTACATAAGGCGCTTGAAGCCGTGGCTTCCGGACGAAAAAAGAGCCGTCGGTATCAGAAGACTTGCGACTCCGTGTTCCTCGTCGCTCGCATTACTTAAATGACCGGCAGCGCGAATCCCTGACCAGACTACACTGCTACTGTCTGTCTGTCTACCTATCTGTCTGTTCAGTCTGTGCCGGAGCCGTTCGCAGGTCGCCGTCGAGCCTGCCCTATATAACTACCCCAGAGCTATAACTACTTAGCTACCAATACTCCGTGCAGCATGTCACTCGAAGAAACGGCGAACACGGCTAAGCAGCCGCCGCAGCTTAACAAGCAGGAGACTAACCAGTCGACGGCCAGCGCTGCTACTTTAGATCCGCTGTCCGGGCATCTGAACCATCTGTCGGAGAAGCAGTCAGAGGCCCTCGAGGCGTTCAAGCAGCAGTGCATAGAGCGCAACATTTATACGCCGGCCAAGGACGGCCAGAAGGCGAGCCATGATGATTCAACCTTGCTGTACGTGCAGTCGTTGTAACACAGACGGGAAGCCGCAGCAGCAGCAGCATAAGAAGAAGAAAGAGAAGAAAGAGAGATAGCTAACAGGTTGTCATGATAGACGGTTCCTTCGAGCTCGTCGGTTCGATGTGAACGGCGCCCTGGGCCAGTTCCAGTCGACGGAGGACTGGCGGAGGGACAACGAGATCGATAAGCTATACGAGAACTTCGACGTCGACTCGTACGAAGAAGCTCGCAAAGTGGTCAGTTAACTCACTACTACTACTGTGTCTGTCTGTTTGACCTTGGAGAGACTGGCAGAGGCTGATATGATGGATAGTATCCGCAATGGACCGGACGGCGAGACCGCAGAGGCATACCGATATACGTCTACACCATCAAGGATCTAAATAGCAAGAACATGACGGCCTATTCATCGTCTGCGGCCAGCACTGCTACCTCATCTACACATGCCTCGTCGAAGGTGCCGGCGCGGCTCCTGCGTCTTTTTGCACTGTATGAGAATATGGTCCGGTTCGTGCTGCCGTTGTGTTCACGTCTGGACCGGCCAAACAGAGAGGTGCCTATTGTTAATACCACAAATATTGTTGATATAACCGGAGTCGGCTTGAAGCAGTTCTGGAATCTGAAGGGCCATATGCAGGATGCAAGCACCTTGGCTACTGCACATTATCCCGAGACCCTAGATAGAATATTTGTAAGCTCTGCCTACTCCTGATGGCGTGCGTGTGTGTCCCTTTTTACTAACCGATGATGAAAAACGGACAGATTATTGGTGCTCCTGTCTTCTTCCCTACGGTCTGGGGCTGGATAAAGCGCTGGTTTGACCCTGGAACGACATCGAAGATATTCATTCTCACTGCCGCCGAGGTACAGCAGACGCTCTCCGCGTTCATGGATGAAGAGAATATCCCGAAGCGGTACGGAGGCAAGCTTGACTGGGACTTTGGCGACATGCCGAACCTAGACGAAGACGCTAGAGCCCAAATTGGCTCGCTGGAGAGGGTTGGCCAGTACGCTGACCAGCCAGAGGACAGCGAAGGGGCCGCAAAGGACACTGCAACCAGAAAGGCCAACTTCGTCAAGGGACCCATCGTTATCCACGACGACAAGATAGATATCTACGGCAGCGTCAAGGGAGGCAACAGACGGAAGACTCTACCCATCATCAGCTTGAGCGAGAAGCCTGACATCCAGCCTGCAGAGCCGGAGTCAAGTGAAACCTTTGATGCAACTGTCGAGCTATCCAAAGACCTAGAGAAGGCCGCCCTGTCTCGTAATGAGAATGAACCTCCGACTGCAAACGTCGTTGCTCATGCATGAAACCGTCTCCTTGCTTCCAAACACGGACATCCCATACATACACCATCTATAAATAATGATCTCCTTTCTCCCGCGCCCCCCTGTTTATTTTGTTTGCATGGAGAAGAAATACCCCCCCGTTGCTTGCTATTCTAGAACATGATACGGATGCTCCGTTTGTGTCTACATCTAGCGTTTCGTTGGACTATCGTCTCTGTATATATACTCATACTATATACATGAACAGGTCGACATATCTACCTCTGCTATGAAGTATCCTGATACGACAGCGTAAGTAGACCCAACAGCAAGTAGAAGACTAAGAGGACTAAGAGGAATAATGGATAGGGGTCTTCCTCTTCCTGGCTCCTACTTACTTACGCCTGGAGAGCCAAAAGCAATTCCGTCCACGGTCTCTTTTTTTCTTTTTTGCTCGCTGGTCAGGATGAAAATTGGCCAAAAAAAAATAATATGTGATCAAAACAGATTAAAAAAATAAAATAAAATGAAAATAAAATAAAATACGACATTCCTTTTTCTTCTCTTCTTCCCTTGTAACGGAGTAAGTAAAAGCAGAAGATGAGGGAAGTTGACCAGTTCCAGCTCGTCCTTTGCTCGCTCTCTCTATTTTTCAGTACATTTTTTTTTATTTCATTTTATTTTCACTGCAAAGAGTAAAAGAAAACGGCTTCAAAAGGTCTTTCAAGGCTCTTTTTTTTTGTCACAGAAAGCGTTAAGAAAATAAAGCAGTTTTATTTTATTTCATTTTATTTTTCTTTATTTTAGCCATTTTTCCCTTTTTTTTTTTTTTTTTTTTTTAACCCTCCCTTTTTCTCTATATACAACGCGGGTTCCTCGCAATTGAGCAGCGTTTTCCCGCCTCGTCTCTCTTCTCTGTCACCCTTACTGCGCCCTGTTCTACGAGCCCGCGACTCTCTCGCTGGCAGTGACCGCGTTTGACCCCGAACCCGCATCTAGTTCAGCTGCTGTGCGCGCGCGACGATGGCGGACGAAGCAGCATCCACACCCGCACGAGGACGCGGTCGACCACCAAAGGCCGGCGGCTCAACAACGCCCAAAACTCCAGCATTGAACGCTGACGGGCAGCCCAGGAAGCGAGGCCGTCCGCCGAAGAATGGAGGGCCAGTGACGCCTAAGCCGGTCGTGCTGGATGCGAACGGACAGCCCAGGAAGAGAGGCCGGCCTCCAAAGAACGGCATAGCAGCACAGTCGAAGTCCAAGACCGAAGCTTCTGCGGACGGAGTGAAGAAGAGAGGGAGACCTCGCAAGGAGGCGGCGGACGGTGATGGGACAGCAGAAGCGAGCCCGGCTGCTCGGGGGCGGCCGAAGAAGGACGCCGATGCGAAGAGCAATGGTGCAAAGGGGACGTCGGGGAGAGGGAGAGGACGGCCGCCAGCCAACCCGCTGCAGAAGTTCATGGGCTCATTTGCCCTGGAGTGTCTGGCTGTCAGTGACGAGTGGCCGGATAAGATTGAGGCCATGGACATGTCGGTTTCTACCTCGGACTTGGATCCCTGCGGCCTGGTCGCGTCGTTCAACCTGGGCATAGTAGAGGGTACCATGCTACTTGCACCGACGGAGGACGAACTGAGTGCTTTCCAGAGCAAAGTCGAAGGCCGTACTGGTGCGTCGTGTGTTGTGTCCTGGATCTAGATCTATACCCTGCATCCATATCTATATATCACATCTAGTTGCTCAGTTGCTAACCCGGCTCCAATCACAGGTTCCGAGTCTGATGAAGACGCAGAGTGTGATGAACCACCTGCGAAGAAAGTCAAGAGTGCCAGTGACGAGGATTCTCTGCGACTCTACTTCAAATGGCGTGGCCGGGATACCAGTGGCAGCGAGGTACATGATTATAGCAGGGATGTCGGCACCGTAGAATTCCTCGACAGCAAGACAATACAGTTCAAGGGAGTAGGGAGCTTCCCTGCCCTGGGGTCACAGTGCGAGTTCACGGGAACCAGATACGACAAGGAACCCACCACTGTTCCTCTGCCCTGGAGCACCTTCTCAGCTGACGCTGCACAACAAGCCAACGAGGATAGATGGTAGGTGTCTCAACGTAGCATGGGAGAGATTATATATGTTCTCCCTCTCCTAACTAACCCCTAACCCCAAACCCGAAACCCCCCCATCCACCGTTGATATACCCACCCATTCGCTCTTTTCCGTGTAATATTATGTCCAATCTACCGTTCCCTTACCTCCAACGCTTCTTCTACGAAGAGCTATACCGCCATACTTACCTTACCGTCATTTTCTCCTTTTCCTTACATGAACCATACCTCTCTTTCTCCATATCTTCCTTTTCTTTGTTTCGTTGATTTAGCAGGTTGTAAACAGGATGTCGATGGCCAGCCAGTCATTTCAGTTGAACACAGATATGAATGCACTTTTTCTTCTAAATTTCATCAACTTCAGTCACACTAGGACAGTAATTTGAATATATAGTGAGTGCCGATAAATAGTAGTTTAATCTTTTCTCAGTCATCGTAGTAACAATATTGTCGTAACATTAAATAACTTTGTTGGAATATTTGGCGAAATATACTTCCTAACCATAGACGCCTTTTTTTATAACCTAGGATGATTTCCACTGGAGGTTCACCTGTTTGCTTCGGGCCTGTAATATTAATTATTAGCATACTGTATGATGGTATATCAACAAGGACGAGGCGAACTTACCAAGGGAGCCAGGGCGCTGACACCGGCCATCAATGCAACAACAGTAAGCAGAAGCTGTACCTTTGAGAATCCCTTACCAAGGATATCGAACGGCTGGCTTGGCGCAAGGCGAGTTCCAAAGATATCAAATCCATACGAGAATATCAAGGTTGTACTCTCGAGCAATGTCGGGTTGGATTCGATGTGTTGGATACCTATCACGTCTCGGGAATGCGTAAGATACCATTTGGGGTCAAACTCGAGGTTCGGGTTATATCTCATCAGGCCTTCTTCAGCTTCTTGGGCAGTAGGATCACGGCCCACGGGACGACGGGGCTCGAGGATAGGGCGTGGGATGCCGACTATGCTGCGTGAAGCTGGGAGGGTGCAGAGGAGTTGTCTGAGAGTTATTCCCTGGCGAGTTTGAGTGACTGCCATGTTGGAAATGGCTTCAGGGATCATGTAGGCTTGTGATATAACGTGTGGCATGGTGAGACTGCTGATACTAGAGTAGTTGGCAGCGTCACCAAGAACTCCACGGTCATTGGGAAGAGATGACTCGTATAGTTCAGATACTATAAGCTGGTAGCCCTTTGCAGCCGATTGCTCGTTTGTGTCTGCCCAGAATGAATAGGCAAACCAGTTCTCAGAGATGGCTGAGGCTATGGGCTGGGTAGTGTCAACGTCGGTATACCTTGCTGTATGCAGGATCTGACCGGACACGCCGTCAAGAAGATAAAAGTCCACGGTAGATTCGCCAGTTGCAGTAATGAGGGCGAGGTTGCGGTTCAGGTACTTGTATAGCACGGATCTGTTTCCTAAGACCTTGCCTACCGAAGCAATGGGGTCATGAGCTGGCCGTGCAGTAGCATGTATAATCTTCTGGCCCTCCGGAACAGTGAACTCCCACATAGGTGCCTTTGATTTGCTAGTATTCCAGCCTAGAATACTCTTATCACCACCTCTAGTGACAAGGAAGGTGTCGATTCCATCAACATATGCAGATTCGGTCGGTACACCGTGTTCCTCAACACCAACTTTAACCTCTGCAGCGCCGTCTGGAACAAATGCGATAGATGCGACTTTCTGTGTTGGAGGAGTTCGGCTGGTAATCTCGCCTGTGGTGATGTTTACCTGGAAAGTGCTACCATCATCGACATGGACGGTTGCGAGGCCTAGTTGAGCAGTGATGGCTTTCACGCCCCAATCAAGGACATTATCAACAGCTTTGATATTCCACATCACTTCTCCCTGACGGCCTGAATCCAATGCTGCGACACGCCCGGTCCGTGTTGCCAGGATAACCTGTTGACCCAGACCGAATTGAACAAGGTCGCTGATATCACTTGGCATGAAGCTGGTCAAGAGTCTCATGGGCGTCTCCATGAACCAATCAGGGAAATATTGCTGTATGGCCTTGAGATGTCGGATCAAACGATGAGCATAGGCCATTGGTACACTCTGGTGGCCTTCTACTTCGAGCTCGCGGGCGAGAGTCACACCATCGTTCGGGTCGTTCCATGCAATTGCTATGGTCTCTGTGAGTGACTCCGGTCTAGTCCACTGTAGCTTTCCGTTCAGGATCAAGGACCAATCTCCCGACTCTTCGACCTGAGCGAACCGAACAGAAACGCCCGAGTCAAGTGCAACTACCTCTGAAACAGCATGCTGGGAGTTCTCCGGTAATACCTGGCTAGTCTCCCAGGCCCCCAGAGCCTTGTCAGACACAGAGGAGTAGATGGCGACCTCCGCTGGAGTGATGCGTGTGAAATAGAGGTTTTCGTAGCCCGTGCTAGTACCGGCCGTGATGACCGGATGGCCCTGTGCCTTTGGAAGGCTGTAGGCTTTTGTGACACTCTTAGATTTGGGGTTGATGTGGTAGACATCAGCCCATGATGCGGAGTCGGTACGGCATTCCACGAGGAAATGTGCCGGGCCGCTTGAGCTCGGTGATGCGTGGATTTTAATATGGCGAACCTCCTCGATGTCAAGCTTGATTGATTCAACGGCATCAGACCCCAGCACGTTGAGTTTGAGGACAGTATTGGCCTTGTCTGTCCAGGCAATTAAGGGCGCAGCAGCGTTTCCGCCAACAAGCAGAATCGATTCAGGTCCAGACACTTCTGCCTCTGAGTTTAGGGTATACTGGCTTCCAGTCTGTTTACCCTTGGCCAGATCCAAGGTTGTGACCTTGATTTTATATCCAGCCCGAGACGCATGCTGCAATGCCACATAGTAACCGGTAGACTTTGATGCCACCGACACCTGGAATGGGACATCATCGCTAGGACCGCCCAAGTCAGCGATTAACGATCCTGCCAGCCTGTACGCCAGGAAGGTAAAGGGTATAGAAACACATACCTCTTGTCCTTATATTCCCACACTGCGCCGCCAGAATCATATCAACCGTCTCAAAAAACCCTTCTTATCCCCCGACAGCACCAAGACGTCATGCCTATACATGGTTTCTCTGGATTCCCGGGACCAGCTCAAGATCCCTAACCACTCCATCCGTCACCCGCTGAACCCATCTGAACCGTCCATCAATCGCATCCCATGCCGAAACACCGTTACCAAATGCACTCACCAGCGCATCATCGTTATCAGCCGCACGCAAGAACGCTTCGCTGGATGATCCCGCTGCCTGCGGGAAGTACTCTGTGATGTTCTGTCTCCATACCACCGACCCGTCCTTTGGGTTGACAGCTCCAAGGATATTCTTGTCTGAGTGCGTGTAGAGTAGTGATGCTACAGAGGAGGGATTCGAGCGGTGGAAGAAGGTGTTGCCTGCGCCAGGTTGGCCTAGGAGAGCGTGGTGGTAGTCGATATGGTAAGCCTCGTCTGCGAGGATTGCCAGCGCTGTGGGAACAAGGGACGCCCACAGCAGGGAAGCTGCATCAAGCCGCATTGTATCACCTCCTTACCACTGGCATCTGACAGTGGCGTGGTCTGTGGTGGAAGTGTTCAATCCGGGGTTGTTGGTTTGCTTGTGCTTGTTGTATTTATTGAGCTATCGTTGCGTTGGAGTTGATGTCTTGGCGGCTAGCTCTTAGTCAGACAGACATAGATAGTGGTAGATAAGAGATAGGAGGGAGTAGATATTAGAGAGAGTACTCCGTAGATGATAGGATATGGAGTAGAGAGTAGAGAGTAAAGTAGAGCATAGAAAGAGAGAGAGGAAGAGAGGGAGGGAGGGAGAGAGTCGTAGTAATAACACTTTTCATTCAAAGCTGAGTTTATATCCCTACTCCAGTGTAACCAAACCCACCCCGTATATGATAATGATAATCTTCATACTCCAGCCGTACCTAGGTATATACATGACTCCGTCCACATACGCATCCGCAACAACATCCATATCAACATCAGCATCCCGCGATAACGACGATAGTGACCAGCACAACGGTGATAGTAACCAGCCCACCATGAGGACTGCTGGGCGTCGGCATCGCCACGCCCGTCGACTCCGAGGCCTTGGGGCCGATCTTAGCAACCATACGATCCCCGATCGTAGAGAGGGATTCCTCAAAGGTGTTGAAGTTGTCTGCCTTCCAGTCAGCGCCGTCAGCGCCTGGCTTGGCCTCTTCACCCTTGAAGGCAACAAAGAGGACGTCATGGTCTTCATGGCCGTTGTTGGCGGTTAAACCTTTCTCAGGGAAGCAAGCCTGGGCGAGCGAAATGGCTACTTCGCCTGTGTCGGTGTTGCCGTTGGTGTCTCCCCATATGCCATAGAACTATTTTGAACGTCAGATATGTGTTTGCATGCGGACATAGAACAGGGAGTAGGCAACATACCAGTCTGTTGTTGCAAACGACCGCCACGACGCTGAGGGGCTCTATGCCCGAGTCTGAGGGGAGGTAGGACGGTTTCTTGCCCTCGTTGCCAAAGACGACGTAGCCATGGACGTTGGCGTCGAGGTCTTGGAGACCGTACCCTTGCACCTCGTCCTTGAAGGAGGTCTGGCCCTGGCCGGTAAGGTCGTTACTACAGTCTCCCTTTGACCTGTTGGCGCCGTCGCAGTCGACGTCGATATCTCCCAGACGGCCCTTGGGACCGCTCAGGTAGACCACACCCTCATAGTCACCGCAGTAGGTGAATCCGCCTGGCACAGTCAGCGGGGTTCAACCTTAACATACAGTTACTCCGTACGGAGTACATATGTAGAGAATGGAAAGAATGTACTACTTACTGCGTCCGTGGCCGTCCTTGAAGCGGTTGCTGCTCAGGGGCTTCTCACATTCACTGTCCTGCTGGCGGTTAGCATGTGCTGCATTGACTTCTGACTAAATTTTCCGGGAGAGATCTGCGGTACCTTTGCATGATTGTAGAGGGCCATGAGGTTGCTGGGAACGGGCCTGCCTGCAGCAGAGGCAAGGCCTGCGAGGCCGCACAGGGCAGCGCAGAGGACGGTCTTGAGGGCCATCTCGGTGAGTCACTGTCACTATCACTATCACGATTTCACAATTCACGATTCATTGTCCCAAGCTGAGGGCATGGAGAACGCGAGGCCCTTTAAATAATATGCGCCCAACTTAGCGTTTGCAGACTATCAAAGTGGTTAAGCTAAGTTCGCAAGGTTCAGGGGCAGTCGTTCCAGATTAATAGAGAGCAAGGGCCGAATGAGGCGCCCTCAAGTCGACGCACGCCAGTTTAGTTGAATCGGACATGGCTAGTTGCTCCGTGCAATGGGAAAGAGTCTTCTAGTGTCGAATGGGTACCGTAGAAGGTGATAACGAAGAAGCAAGTATGAAGATGTGTCCGGGGACGTTGATCCGGGGATGCAGGAGAGAATCCGAAGGATCTTCTGCTTCTTCGATGCGACTAAACAAGCATCGCAAGGGCAGCCCCTAAGCCCTGAAGATGCCCGAGATGGCATCCCGGAAGCTCATTTAAAAGCCGCCTAAGCCTCACGCATCAAGCCTAAGCTTCCCTTAGTCCCGGCCCTGCGCCACGGGAGGGACGAGTCCCTCGCTCGCCTTGAATAAGTAGATCGATCGCATGGCTGGCATGTGAGATACTGGGGCGGTTTATCTAACTGGCCGGACGCCAGAGCTGACAGGTCGCTTTTGCTGGTTTTTTTTCCTGTGTTTCATCTTCTGCCGGCAAGTCCAGGTCAGAAGACACCCGCACATCCGTGGCCGTTTGTTATTATTGATACTCCATACTCCATGGCCGGATAATTCGAGATGGTAGGGCTTGTCAGGGGCTGCAGCACCCCGTACTCCGTATATAGTGGTCTAGACAGCCGAGCAGCGAGCACCTTCATATATATAAGGCGATTTACCCGCAGCCACACTGGGTTGATGCCGGTCTTAGTTCACACATGCAGCGAACATGTTGTCCCTTGAATCTTCTGAGCATCTGGCGAGACCCGGAGTCAAGATCAAGCAGCCACCGCTATTAATAGGGGCAAGAAGTCGATGATGGCAGCGAAGCTTCCTCCCGCAGGTCAAGAGGCACCGTCGCCTGACCATCTCGTGTCTTTCTCGTCTCTTTCTCCTCTGCCTCTAATCGTCTTCTCTTCTCCCTCTTCTTCTTCTTCTCTTCTTTTTCTTCTTCTCTTGTTCGCTTCAACTTCAAGACAAGTAGAAGAAAAGCATCAGACGACTGGCCCGCTTACCTAATCATGTGTTATTCGTGTGTTATTCCCAAGCGCAGTTTGACCGCAACAACGCAAAAAGCGACACAAGACACCGACTTGCCTTAATTCACCAAGTAATAATAAGCTTGCTGGCTGGCTGGCCATAATTATCATATATAAATCTACCTCCCTGCATCCCCGTAACGACCGCGACGGCCCTTTCTCTCCTCTATCTTCGCTCTCTTCTGCAAGGCCTTCACTGACATCGCCGTCCTCCGCATCTCCTTCTCCGCAATCGCCCCAGTTCGCTCACCCTGCCCAGATTTTAAGGCAAAACGACATGTCTTGGGGTTGAAACCCGCAATCCTTAAGACTGAAACCTATTTTATTTTTATTTTAATATTAAAATAAGAGAAAGAGGCTGAGATACCGCGTTTCTCTTTCGGTCTTGTCGACAGGACGCACACGCACACACAGCTATGGATGATGACGGTGGTGTAAGCAGTGCTCGAAGTCGCAGGTATTTTTAACTACGCTTCCCGGTGATGTCACAGCTGGTGATGGCGGGTTGTCCACTGACTAGCTAACTCCTTGATACTCGTGTAATAGGCGACAGTGGCCTGGCAAGAAGGATGTCGGCGTCGTTGGACAGGCGGGATGGACCAGCAGCGTGATAAACCTGGTCAACACGAGTGAGTGTTCTTCTCCTTCTTCTACTCCGGGTAAAGAGGTGAAAAAGAGGTGAAAAAGGGGACCACAGGCTAATGTCTCTCCAGTCGTTGGCGCAGGAGCCCTGGCGATGCCACACGCCATATCTCGCATGGGCATGTTTCTGGGAGTAACGGTTGTTCTTTGGGCTGGCCTGACTTCGGCGTTCGGCTTGTACTTGCAGACTCGGTGCGCTCGGTACCTGGAGCGAGGCACCTCTTCCTTCTTCGCCCTCTCTCAGATCACCTATCCGAACGCGGCGGTCGTGTTCGATGCGGCAATTGCGATTAAATGTTTTGGCGTCGGTGTCAGCTATCTCATTATTATTGGCGATTTGATGCCCGGAGTTATGGAAGGGTTCGTTGGCGGCACTTCCGGAGTTGATTTCTTATACGACCGGCATTTTTGGGTTACTGCGTTCATGTAAGGACATCCCTCTCTATGCTTTAAATGCACATCTACTAACCAATGCCTTTTCAGGTTGATTGTTATTCCGCTGTCTTTCCTACGGAGACTAGACTCGTTGAAATATACCAGTATCGTTGCCTTGATCTCGATCGGATACCTTGTCATCCTGGTGGTCGCCCATTTCATCAAGGGAGACACCATGGCTGACCGTGGCCCTATCCACTTTGTTGAATGGCAAGGCCTCATTTCTGCTTTAAGCGTTTTCCCTGTCATTGTGTTTGCGTACACTTGCCACCAGAACGTACGTTGACTTCTCCTTTGTCAAATGCTGTACAAGTCTTTTTTTCTCTCCATACTAATACGCCGCTTACCTGCAGATGTTCTCGATTCTCAATGAGATCGCCAACAACAGCCATTACAGAACCACAAGCGTGATTGTGACATCGATCGGCAGCGCTGCGGCAACCTACGTCCTAGTCGGTGTAACTGGCTACCTCTCCTTCGGCGATACCATTGGCGGGAACATTGTTGGAATGTATGCACCCTCATTGGCTTCGACAATTGCCCGCGCAGCCATCGTCCTCCTTGTCATTTTCTCCTACCCTCTGCAGATTCACCCATGCAGAGCCTCCTTGGATGCTGTCCTGAAATGGCGACCAAACGGCAACAAGTCCGCCGCCAACGTCCGCTCGCCAAACCGGAACCCTTTGCTCCCACGAACCAGCCCACCAAACGATGAAATGAGCGATATGCGCTTTGCAATCATAACCACCGTCATTATCGTGCTCAGCTACATCGTTGCCATGACCGTTTCGTCTCTGGAGGCTGTGTTGGCTTACGTCGGTGCAACCGGAAGCACAAGCATAAGCTTCATCCTCCCCGGACTGTTCTACTATAAGATCTCCTCCCCAGAGTCAGCTGCCCACCAACGCCTAATGAAAGAAGACGACGAGCTTGATGCAGAGGAAATTTCCAACGAAATCGATCCCTCTGCAGATGCATCCCAGGGCCTCCTGGGTCGGTCCTACGCCCGCTTCATGTCTCTCTCCACCAACCAGTGGCGCCGAGACCTTCTCCGCAAGTTGAGTTTGGGCCTCGTAGTGTACGGTGTCGTGGTCATGGTCGTCTGTCTGGTCACAAACACCTTCTTCCTAGCATCAGATATAAAGGGATAGACCTTCCAGACGCTCTTTCCCCCTCACGCACATACACATACCTACCTACCAACCAACCAACCGGCAGCTAATTCAAATCAACCTACACTATATTATTCCTCCCAGAGGGACATATGATCTTATTATAACCTTGGGGTTATCGCAGTTCCGAACCTCGGGTCACCTGCTGCACACTATTACTTCAGCCTCGCCGCTTGATAGGCTAGACGGCTTCTCGCCTTTTGATCACATTGTACCAACAACCGCCACAATACCTTACCACTTTTTATGTTTCGCTTCTCTAGAGCTCATCCATTTGCTGGATAGAGCATTTGTTTTTACCTCTTTTTTTACACTTGACGATGGCACTGTCCTTTAAACCTTCTTTCTTCTAGGAGTTTATCCCTTCGATAACTTCTTTTTATTTCTTCAGCGGCTCTCTTCGGCCAGTTTACTTCTTCTCTGGTGCGTGCACGTTGGTTAGATCTAGGATGGGAGGGAACATACATACTGTTGATTTATGGGTGTATATTGAATGAAAATCCAGATATCGAATAGTAATAAATAAATACTCTCCAAAGTATCCTATTCGCTATCTTGTAATGGTTTTAAAGGAGCATGGAGAGGAGTGGCATGTTTTGAATTATCCATAGCCCAGAATGATCAAATTCAGACAGCCTAGTAGTAATATTATCACCCTAAAGGTGTAGTAGACAATAAAATATAAAAAGTAAGAAAATAAAAACACAGCCGCTAACAAATATCAGAGGAAAATGAAACTTCGAAGGAGTGGAAAGCGAGCCAGGCACTGATCAGCAATTTCTCACCGTCTGTTGCCGTTATTCTAGAACCCAATATCCAGACGGCAATGTTCAGGGCAACTAAACAACCTAGTTGTTGCTCTGGTTGTTCAGGATCCTGAGGATAGATAGGAAAAGGTTGATGATGTCAAGGTAGAGCGAGATAGCAGCAGCAATCTCCTCCTCGACATGATAATGACGCATAACGAGCTGTGTATCAACAAGGATGTAACCGCTGAATACCAACGCGCCAACAGCACCATATATCAGGTCCATGGTCTTGCCCACCGGGAAGAAAGCAGCCACGAAGCCGAAAATAACCATGAACCAAAGCGCACCGAACAGGTATGGCATCCATCCGGTGAAGTCATACTTGGTCTGGCAGGCGAACAGGGTAAGACCAATAAACAGGCCCATGGTAATGACAAGTGCCTGCATAACTATCTTGGAGTCGTAGAATGACGTAATAACGCTGATGGCGTACCCTTCAAGCAGGGTGAAGCCGCTAAGGAAAAGGAGGTTGGTAGGGTAGCTCTTGCGCTTCCAGTATGTGAGCAGCATGAAGACGATGGCTCCGATGAGGGATCCGATCATGAGCCATGAGTGCGACTGGACCCATGATTTGTACTTAGCGTTGAAAAAGGAGACTGAGCTCAAGGCGGTGGTGAGGATGAGCTGGACGGTGCTGGACGGGTGATGGTTAGGTTAGCTGGGAAAGGCGACGAAGCTGGTTAGGACGGTAAGGTAATTAGCTTACAGGATAGAGTATACTTTGCGAACGAACTGCATTCGGATAGGCATGGCGGCCTCTGCGACAGAGCCTCCATACTATAAGCCATCCGGCGCCGGTTAGCTACATTATACCGAACCAGGCAACGTCATAACGGAGCAGGCAGGCAGCCAGATTCCGCCAGGAGTGAGGTGAGACATACCTTGAAGTCATCTGGGACGTTATCGTCTTCGGTTCTCTGTGTCCCGTAGATTCCAGACGAGGGGCCTGCGGCGTCCTGATAAGATGGAGGGGCTTGGGGATAGCTTTGGCCATCCATAGAATCCCGCTGGGGGGCCTGCGTGTACCGAGCGTTGGACGCCATGTTGGCGCAGAACAGAGCTTTAGACAAGGGAGATATTAGCCGGTAGCGAGTTCTCGAGTCGAAGACCTGCGAATATCCCACGGCAGAGGGCTTCGAGCGTGTGAGTGTTATGGGTGCGACGAGGACGGGGAAACCTCTACAGGAAGGCAGAAGAGGAGGAGTCGCTATATATTCCGTCCGTACGTCCAGCAGAAGGCGAAAGCCGCCACCTGCGCAAAAGGCTGGGCCCTGACATGGTCACATGATGATAGCCGGCCCGGGCTTGCTGGGATATTCCGATACTTACGATACGATACGCAAAGACTAGTTTCTATTGGATAGAGTAATCTGTTTACAGTATATTATGTTACACGAGTACGAATACGTGCACTTTACTTAATCAGGAAAGGAAGCCTCAGAAAGTTCTGTATCGCTTTGTATCATTAGTCAGCAGAGAGCTGCGATTGCCGTATAAAAAGGGGGTCGATCTTCCTCTTGACAGCAAAGCAACCTCGTGGGTCTTTGTATCCGAGATGCAAGCGTCGTGTTACTCGGATGTGCTCCATACAACGCACATTGGCCGGAAAATTACAGAGTCGGGTAGATGCAGATTAACGGGAATGTCCACCACGGAACATTCATACTCGGTACCTCGTTTCCGATGTATAGCATATTCACTTGAGTTTTAAGGGGATCTAGCAAACAAAATGAGTGTTAAACTACGTATATACACCGGAGATTTCAACGAGACAACTGCATTTTCAGTCTCTTTCGACTAGTTGATATTCCGGTCAGCGCTCATTTTAGGTTGTGCCTGAAAAGCTTAAAATGGTTAAGCACTGATAGTGGGGCAGGACACTGAGATCGCCACATTTACTCCCTCCGTGCCTAATTCACGCCCCATTCTGCCACCTTGGTGAACTTCGGGTTAAAGAGTCGCTAGAGCCCTTGCATGACTATGAAGTCATACATCTCGCTCTGGTGCATGCAGCATTGGTTTTTAAGGCCCCGAGCTCGCAGCACCAATCTGTCACTCTGGTTACCAGTTGAATGTATACGCAATTAGGTGTCTGGGCTAGTTTAGGCACATCAGCAATTGTGGAATAATTTCGGTCGTTAGTTGAGTTGAAAGATACTTCGAGTTATCCGCTTTAATTGCAGAGATGTGGGTTTAGGTGAGCAATTGCATATCCCAATAGTGAGTTTTCATCCGATGTCTTTCATTTATTTCTATTCTTCCCAACCCATACTAGCCCACAAGACCATATCAGACAACAGCTCTCGTCTTTTACAGCTGCTGCCATTTTCTTCATATTAGACCATGGAGTCAAGTCTGGCCTCGGGTCGATGAAGAGGAGAGTTTCTGTGGCTTGACATTATGCAAGTATTTATGCACTTGAATGAACCATGCTCTTCTAGGCTACTTGATGGTTCATAGGTAAAGGTCTAAATTGTTCCAAAACGGTCTAAAAATGCAGCACAATTACTGTGATAAGAACAAGGGCATGGAATAGACTAAATAGAAGTAGCAACACGGAGTGAGAAGGAATAAAGGAGCAGATTGATTGGAAGTAAATAGGGGAGAAGTAGAATCAAAGAGTCTAGCCCACTCCTAGCCGTGTCTGAATGAAACGCCGATCACAAACTCCTCTTGCTAAATGTGTTAAGACAGCCATATGTTGCGCCCATGATCCTCTAACTGATGCACCGGGCAGCTAGAAAGGAGAGAAATGAAAAGAAAATTAAAATAGAATGGAAAAAGATGAAGGAAAGAATGGCAGGATTAAATGGCCCCTGCTTCCGACGGCACCGCACCTTTCACATTGGGGAACCGGTCTCAGGCTCACTCCCAGTGTCCTGGTCGTCAAGCTCGCACTCCGAGTCGCTACCACCGAACATTTCCTCGAAGGAATCCTCGTCTCCGCTGTCGACCCAGAAGTCCTCGTCTCGTTCGATGGGTTTAGTAGGTGGTGCAATGCTAGCCTCGTGAGATGTAGGCATTTCGTAACCCTCAGGAATGTCCTTGAGGGATCTCTCGACCTCAGACTTGACGCGCTTCTTGTAGGCTGCTGGGTTGCTGCGGAGTTGCACACCAGCCTCGACGTTGGCAGGCGAGCTGACCTCTGCGTCGTCAAGAAGAGATATGATCGAGATCAGAACGGATTCGACTCGCTGGGCTGGCGACCAGCGTTCGGAAGCGAGTTCCCCTGACATTTCGTCTTCGCCGGGCTTGTGTAAGATGGAGATGCATACGTAGCCGTTGTCGTAGATGTTAGGGTGCCATAGAGAAGGAGTAAATCTGAACTCTATAAACAGGACAAGTCAGACGTCAGCTCTGTTTCACTTCGCGTTCTGTTGCCGGTACCCCTTTTTGCTCGCGTGATGTGCTCAGAGGGAGATCCAGGCAGCAAGGTGAGGTCCTTACGTGGAGGTGAATAAGGGTAGTTTTGAGGAAAAGTGATTTTTCCTTTAAAGTAGCCGCCATGGTAAAGTGAGTCAGGGTTGAGAACGATCAGAGCGATGTTCCAGTTGAATATGTCATCGTTGTTCAACTGCAGCATATTTTCATCAGCAACCAGTCATTTTCTTCACCCAACATAGCTCAAAACCAGAACAGAAGCCCAACCAACCTCGATGTTTAGCCACTTCTCCTTCACCAGGGACTTGTATTCGTTCATCAAGATGCGTTCCGCCATGGCTGATATCCTGGGAGACAACTGGGGCAACTTTTCGAAAGGTTTTGCGGAGAACGGAGATCGTGGACGCCAGGCTAAGAAAGGCTCTGGGAGTTAGGCTGAAGGAAAAGAGAAGCCGCTGGAAAATCTGAGAAGCCGATGAAAACTGAAGATTCTCCTTATTCTCCTTATCTTTCTCCTTCGTCTTCTTTCTGTAAGGAGTTTGGCGTGTGAGGGTGTAACTTGCCCCCTTCCAAGGCCCTTTTTCATTAAATAACTAATGACGGGAGGAAAAAAGGTACATCGTGATGTTGTTGGGCGCTTCGAAGGGCCGAACGACCCACATGACCGCCAGAAAATCTTAGCTGCGATGCCGTCCTATCGCCGAACACAAGGACAGAGCCAGATGACGTTGGACGCAGAAGACGAAGAAGGCCTTGCGCAAGAGTGGCAATGTCCTGCAGAATCGCTACCGACCTCCAGCACGCCATCATAACACTCCTTGGGAGGTTGTTTGGTGGTGAGCGGCTTCGCTGTGACAGTGGCTCGTTAGTGACAGCGTTTTGATGGCAAGGGTTTATACTACCAGAGCCGCCGTTTTGACCATCGCCTTCCCATCGAATAAACGAGAAAACTAGCGGAAGCCGAATAGCGGATCAAACCATCAAATAGTCTCGAGACCATCGAGTACATTGGTGAATGAATGTATCAGTGTTCGCCACATCTATTAGCCAGGTACAGGAGGCAGGGAGGCAGTCGACCTATTGGCATTTGATCGTGTCGACGAAAGTGAACCACATCTATGGCCTATGTACTCCGTTCCCCTGGAAAGAGTGTTCTATCTCTTGGTACGGAGTAGCTATTGGCTCGTTGCGGATTGGCCAGATGCATGTTGGCGAGCCTGCCTTGACAGGCGGTGCTAAAGGCACGGATGGTTCTGATGACCCTTGGGCATGAACTCGATGCGAACAAGAAGCAAGAAGGAAAGTGACAGCACCCCAGCGTCCTACAGCTTTGAAAAGATCAAGGTGGCTTAGAGACGGCAAAAGGATGGAGGACTGTCTTTGGCCACTTGCTGCCCATGATGGTATTGTTCCCCGGAAAAATATCGCCAAGGGACAGGGACGATTTTTCTTCACCGCAGGATCCGGGGAAAAATTATATACCAGGTGCCTCTTCCATGGGGATACGCCCTACCATTGTACACCGTGGAGCCTAGGAAAGCTCTCTTCTGCTACTATCAGCCGACAGACAGCGCGGAGAATGTAGCTATCTTTGTACAGGGACAGGGGCTACAGGGACAGGCATATATCAATCACTTGCAGAGTTCCAGTGTCTAGAACAGAACCCTTACCTGCAGGAGTTTACGATGTCTGGAGTTAGCTTTCTGGAAGCACCGGGGGCAGCGATATGAGATGCGCTCTCCGCATCGGCCAAGACCTCACCCGGCGAATGAACACTATGAATTGTTTTCCGCCGGCCTTCCAAGATTGATTGCATGCCAACACTTAGATATATAGTGCCTCCTGACTCAGAGCCAATATGACTGAAGAGTGCAAAGCGAGCAGCCACAAGGCTTCGCCTGTCAGATAAAATGCTCTGAATGGCCACGTCCCTGGAATACCAAAGAGTAAACCTTAGGCTAGGAAAACTAGCCAGGGCCGCATTTTTTAGCCTACTGCAGACGAGGGGGATGTGCAAAACAACGTGTGCTCCCGTGGGATCATGCCTGCTCCTCCCCATGCCATGCTGGCAGCCAGCATCGGTTAGAAAAATCAAAAACCCCATCATTTGATGGCATTTCTGACCAAGACATCGAACTCTTGGAATCGAACTATAGTCGGGGTAATTATATTGTCTCTCCCGCAGAAAAGGCTCGGCTCCATGGTCCAGGGCCCATATAACAAACCGTAGATAGTGACTGCTCGCTTCTTCTCGAGATGGCTACAAGCGGTAAGCCGTTCTTATCGCGCAATTATCCCCATAAACAGTCCTTGTCCGAAGATGCGGAGAAAAAAAAAAAGCACGTAATTAACAGGCAGGCACTTATATATAGCAGCAATTACGACCGTTCGACCGGAGGCTCCCTTGCCCTGGTATGTCACTCTCCCGAGCCAGAACGAGTCTAAATCAATTTTCCGGGGAGTTAGCGGGACAGCCGAGCAATATATTTCTCCTTCCTGGGATGCCTGAGAGGTGGTATCGGCCTCGTTTCCCGCTCTGTAGCCAGCTGGCTTGCTAACGGTTGCCACCCTGCAGTAGTAGTCGCGATACGGAGTACCAACTCAGAGATCAGTGCAGGGTTCGACCAAGCCTCTACGCCCTCCGCCTATGTAGCCCTTGCAGCAACTAATTTGCTTGTTAACCCAGTCTGGAAGAGACCGAGAATGTGGCTCGAAGGCGCTAAATTAACATGTCCACTCTTATTATTATATTTCGCTTTGAGACGCCGGCGCTGGCAGGCTTAACTATCTGCACGGGAGAGTGGGAGGATTCTGGGGTGCATTCAAGTGCATCGTCGTGGGGAGAATCATGCACACGACATTTCCATTTTCCATGGCGCTTCAGCATAGAGCGCGATGAGTGTGACCGATGCCAGTAAGAGTGAGAAAGATAAGAGAAGGCGAAAATGTACTTCTCGTTCTAGAAGTGCCATGGAAAAGTCTCCGTATCGGAGCTCGTATCGAAGGATGTCGAAGCATGGGTTTCCCCTGTTGGCTGGTTGACATTCCCCCGGTCAGCACAAAATCAGGCCAACAGGGGGGCCATCAAACCATCCAGAGGTTCATATTTCGTTCTCGCACCGTGGGGACAGAACTGTTCAAGTGTCTTTCAAACAAGACTTTTACCCCATAGACAGTGAGCACACATGCATCTTGGCTCTCTGAGCCATTATCGCATGTCTCTCGAGATCCCGTGTGCGGCCCCAGCCGAGAAACCTTTCTCACAGCAGACAGGGAACGGGAGAGCAACACCACCAGAGGACAAAGTCAGCTCGATATCCAGGCAGAAACACTCGAACCGACTGGTATATACCATATCTCAACGTGATTGATACCCGTTGACTGCCCTTCGGCAGGATTCCATGTCTCATTGCCCAACCGGCATTCAAAGGCACCGCTCTGCATGATCATGGAGCATCATGGAGCATCATGGAGCATCGTGATTCCTCTAGCACTGTGATAATGAGCAGGGGAGAATCTCGCTATTCGGCCCCACGCTCGGTGCTGGGCACTGGGGAAACTCACTGGACTGCATAGAGATTTGGGCTGTGGTACACTTCACACTCCCCTGTATAGTCCTTGATGGCAACTCACAGCTCAGCTGAGCTATGGCTGGCAGTGTCTCCTCTCCATACGGACAGGGGGAAGTGTCTCTATATAAACCGCCATGAAGGACCTCGAGGAACGTCCAGAGAACCAGCAGTCTCCTTTCAATCCCAATCATCCCCATCCCACTCCTTCATCACCAGTCAGGCAGAATATCCCCCATAAGACACCATGCATGGACTTTTGCTTGCGGGGCTGTTGGCTCTCCCCTTGAATGTGCTCGCTCACCCAACCGAGTCACATAGCTCTGGTATAAGCCGCAGGGCCATTGACATCACTTCATACCGTCTTCCCCAAATATCCAAATATACCAAGAGCGATTCCCTTACTGGACAGGACGGCCAGAGCTTCACTGCCTCTAGTGCCGATGCCGACACCAGCTCTGGTGACTATGTCTCCACTGCTACCAACTGGTTGAAGAAGACCCTTCCAAATGCATCCTACCGTCTCGTCAACGATCACTACATCGGTGATAGCGGAATTGGCCATGTCCACTTCCGTCAGACTGCTCACGGGATTGATATTGACAACACCGATTTTAATGTCAACGTAAGTCGTACATGTCAATTCTCGGTATTCCATGGGATAAAGTACTAAGATATGTATACATAGATCGGCCGTGACGGCAAGGTTTTCTCTTTTGGAAACTCTTTCTATGATGGAGAGATTCCCAAGGCCAACCCAATGGTCAAGCGTGACTTCTCGGACCCCGTGGATGCTCTACACGGAGCAATTCAGACTTTGAATATCCCCGTCACCGCTAAGCCCGAGAATGTCAAGGCTAAGCCTGTCGAGGGTAAGGAGTCTTTTAAATTTGAAGGCACTTCGGGAGCTCTCTCCGACCCCAAGGCCCAGCTTGTCTACCTGCAAAAGGACGGCGGTCTCGTTCTTAGCTGGAAGGTTGAGACTGACGTTGGTGACAACTGGCTACTCTCATATGTTGATGCCAACGACAAGGGCAAGGTTCACTCTGTCGTTGACTACGTTTCAGCAGCTGCTTACGAAGTATAGTACGTGTCTGATTCTTCTTCGTTATTGGAGGTAATAGGAAGCTAACTAGATGGTAGTCCCTGGGGTATCAATGACCCTACTGAGGGAAAGCGATCCACCATCCACGTTCCATGGTTCAAGACCCAGTCAGTAGACTGGCACATTGACGGCAAGAACTGGTACCCAACCACTCGCGGTAACAACGCCATTGCCCAGGAGAACCCCACCGGCCAGCGTGAATACGAGAACAACTACCGTCCAAAGAGTCCCCTATTCATCTTCAAGTACCCATATAGTGAGGCCATGAGCCCTCCATCGTCATACAGAGATGCTTCCATTACCCAGCTATTCTATACCACCAACGTTTTCCATGATGTACTCTATATCCTTGGCTTCAATGAGAAGGCAGGAAACTTCCAGACCAACAACTGGAACAAGGGTGGTCTTGGAGGAGACTATGCCATCCTCAATTCCCAGGACGGCTCTGGTGTAAACAATGCCAACTTTGCTACTCCTCCAGATGGCGAGCCAGGACGCATGAGAATGTACAACTGGAATGCTTCCACTCCAGAGCGCGACGGCTGCTTCGAGGCTGGCATTGTTATCCACGAGTACACTCATGGAGGTGAGTCAACCAACTAGCCCATCAAACGTCATATGAGATCAATTATCCAACTAACATTGACTTGACTAGTCTCCAACCGACTTACTGGAGGTCCAGCGAACTCCCGCTGCTTGGCCGCTCTTGAATCCGGCGGTATGGGCGAGGGATGGAGTGACTTCTTTGCTACTGCCATCCGTCTAAAGAATGGGGATACCCGTGCTACTGACTATACCATGGGCGAGTGGGCATCCAACCGACCAAATGGTATCCGCAAGTACCGCTACTCCACCAACCTCACTACTAACCCGCATATGTACGTTGATGCCGATGGCTTGACCTCCGTTCATGCCATTGGTACTATCTGGGCTTCTATGCTCTACGAAATGCTCTGGAACTTGATCGATAAGCATGGCAAAGGAGACGTTAGCAAGGTCAAGCCAACTCTGAAGAACGGCGTCCCAACTGACGGCCGTCACCTCGCCATGAAGATTGTCCTCGATGGCATGGCCCTGTTAGTATTTCCTTCCTAAAATATATTGACTATTATCAATAGCTAATGCTAATATCCATCTCTCTAGACAACCATGTCTCCCCAACTTTGTCCAAGCCCGTGATGCCATAATCGATGCTGATAAGAACCTCACTGGTGGCTCCAACAAGTGTGAGATCTGGAAGGCATTCGCCAAGCGCGGTCTCGGTGTTGGCGCTGTCTACAACCCATCCAAGCGAACCGGAAGCAACGAGCTTCCTGCTGGCTGTTGAAGGGCGCGCTTTATTCATGTATCTCTATAGATTAAAATACGATATGATGAAATTAACTTTATATTTTACTATTTTCCAGCAAAGTTTTGCAACAGAACGTTAATTTATAGCGTTTATTTATATAGTTTTAGAGCAGTAAAATTTCATTGTATTAAAATAGTGTAAATACTAAATCTCTCTATTTGGAATCACTACTATTGTCAACCAGAAATTCAAAACTTTCAACCTCGATGAGTTCATTGCCTGGAACCCAGCTGTCAAGTCCGGCTTCTTTGGCCTTTGGAGGGGTATTACCACTACAACGGGAACACCCACTAAGGTCGATACAACAAACACTCCAAAGCAAACATTCGATCCAACGAACCCCTGACCCCAACAGCCGGGAAGGGCCAAAAACTGCAACGAGTTCTATCTCGTTCAGAGTGGTGACAATTGCTACGGTAGTTATTGAGCAGCAGCATTCAATCTCGCACAGTGAATTTGTAAAATGGAACTCTGACGTAAAGCATGACTGCTCATCCCCCTGGTAGGGGATATCATATGTGTGTTAGCATACCAACTAAGACTATGTACTTCACCCCCGTATCGCGGCCGACAGCCCAGTATCACCTAGTACAAAAAAGAGACACGTGCTGGTCACTTCAGCAGGATTAGTTATAAGCTTGATCAAAATAAATTCGAAGAGTTGAATCTAGTTTTGGCGTTGGATTGCTCGAAGTTATGGTTGGGGTATTATGTCTGTGTGCCGGGATGGGATGAGCAGTTCCCAGTTAGTGTAGGCATGTGTCGGAGAGTACCTATCCTCGTCATTCGCTGCTGCTAACTAACTAACTAGTTCAATAAGCAGCGTTGCTTTTAGTTCAACTGCATGGTTAGTGATAGATAAAAACCCAAAACAGCGTATATTCCTAGTTACCGTTCTACTCCATTTCGCTCTATATTATGCCACTTCTGACAGTGCCCATTGGAAATTATGTCTATTTTCTTCTCTGTGGCGCATATTGTTTCTGATCATTAGTTACCTGGTTATAGGTATCCACCGCCCTGCACGCGTCTCTCTCATCCTTGTCTAGCACTGCGTCATTATACGCCGCCCTTGATAAGTAGAATTATAGACCAGGACTAAGCTGATGGACCATAAGTGGATAAAAACCAATAACGATGGTGAGTCAGAGCAAGCAGGCGACTATTTTACCAGAAGAGTTCCTTTAGTGAGCTTGACAGCACCCTCCTTGAAAAGACACCTTCGCCTTTTGCCGTATGAGCAGTAAGATGGCAATGGCACATATTATTGAAAGTAGGCTTCCTATAGAGCTCTGGATCAAAATATTCGAAGAGGTACGTATTCACTACTTGCTTGGAATACGGTAGAAGCTAAGTTGAGTGTTTCAAGATTGCTCAGCTCGACGAAGACGCCGTGGAATGGCAAGAGGAGAGCGTCCCCTATATGGGTTTGAAATCTGCCAGTCAATGCTGTCGTTTCTTTTATGGCTTAGCTGCCCCAATCATCCACCATACTATTACCTTGGATTACTGGACTGGTTGTGGTGAAGGCCTGCTAAGGCTTCTGACAAAATATGAGAACAGCGCCGTGGCGCGATTCGTTAGGAAAATAGTTATACCATCTGACAGTGATAAAGTACAGGCGGTAGACATTCTGGAGTGCTTGAAAGGAAAGGCAGATCTGAGAGAGTTCAGGTACGTTATTTGAATCATCTTAGCTTCTGTTTATAATGGGAGCTAATTCTCATGATATAGCTGGAGGTTGGATTGTTCTGAGGACATGAGCGACCTGCTTCCCCAGCGCCTCCTTCAATACTGGCCATCTTGTCGACTATCTGTCGAGATAAATTCACCTGATATGTTACCAGATATCCAGAAAAAGGACGGAGCTCTTCCGATGTATGGCCTGCCTTCTCTCGCCTCCTTTAATTACACCTGGAATCCCCCCCTTTACTTTGAGGATGACGAAGACGATGACGAAGATTTTTATGATGACCCTACCCTTGGTAAAATGTTTATACGGTCTTGTCCAAATATAGAGGCCTTAAAGTTGACTTTGCAGATGACAAGGGGAAGCCGCCACAAGTATATGAAAACATTTATGTTGGGTCGAGGCGAGAGGCTCCCTGCCTTAAAAAGGCTAGAACTGCAATTTGTCTACCTCCCCCCTGGTCAAGGCCTTCTTTGGTCCAAGTGTGCAAACTGGGGGAGACTTACGAATCTCGTCCTGGCTATCGATAGCCCCCAAGAGTTCATAGAACACTTTACTGGTCTTGTGCCTAATCTCTCCTCCTTTGAAATACGAATCCGGAGCCCGATTGACGAAGATGATATTGCAGAACCTCTAATATCTTTCTTAAAAGGTATTTATAGGCTTAAGGAATTTATATGCTTTAATATTCCTAAGTCAGTTTTGCCTTCTCTACATACCTACCATGGAAATTCTCTGCAAACCCTGAAGTTTAGAGTACTAGTGGTCACTTCTCTCCGGTATCAAAGTATTGAGAGCGATTCGACGAATCCATTTCTGGAGCAAAAGAGGACGTACACAGAAAACTCAAATTCGAATTACTTTCCTATTCTCCCACAGCACTCTGTGTTTTACCTATGTGCAAGGAAATCTTACGTTTGTTCCCCTTTTTACCTAGTTTCCCATATATATTATTACTAGCATATTAACAAGTGCTTCACCTCTAGGATCCTGCAGAAATAGACCGACATCTACATGCTGAGGATATAGAGAATATTCGACAATGGTTTCCTAATATACGCGACTTTGCATTTGATTTAGACCTACGTGGGTGCCTGGTAAGTCGCTTACATTGCTTTTCTCTTTATACTTTAACTATAGTTAATGCGAAAGTCTTTCTACGCTTGACTAACCTTGTACTTTATTTAATAGACATACGAATTGCTTACATCCGTCTCGCGGCATCAAAACATTGAACACCTACAAATTCATCTTCCCTACAACCTTGAACTAGAAAAATACCCTAAGATAGAAACTATCCAAAAATGGTTTGAGTGTATATTCAACCATATAGATAGCCAGAGGCGTGTCTTAGAAAGGAACCCCCCTTTTTGGTCACGGGGGAAGGTCCTGGAGCTCAAGTCACTGGCTATCGCGTTTAATAATTGGGACAAGTTCGATCTACCCTACGGAGATGATAGGACTGATGGGTTAATGTATCGTTGCCGAAGGATGCCAAACGGCCAAATAGGCAAGGCAATAAACTACCCACTACGTCGATACCGCAAACCCAGGTGGTACTGTGCCACCTACAAGCAGAGGGAGATTGACAATGACTTAGTAAGCATAAGCTCAGTCTCAGATCAAGACTCTGACGAGGAATCAGATGAAGAGGTGTCGGATGAAGACTCTAGAAAGTCGAAGGAAGTCTCTGTGGAGCCAAAAGAAGACGTTGGAATACCATATAGGATTTTCCATAGCAGCGAACTAAAAAGAACTATGGGTTTAGCCTAGAATAAGAAGGCGTTATAACGGCATGTTTGTAAGTTTCATGGCTGTGTTCTTTTCCACATTCTACTTATCCCCTAAGTAATTTAAGAGTTCTCAGAACTTTGAACCTGCTCTCAGTAACTAAATACAAAAGACCAGTCCTACTAACTAAAGCTCCAACCTCTTCCTTTCGTGAAAAGTATGGTGAAATAAACGATGCTGGAACTAGTAGTTATGGGGGATGGCCTTTCGCCTCTGACCTTGAGCTGCATAATATATATAGCTATATATAACTGCAAGTCATAAACCATGGTGAACCTTTAGAGAATCCGGTATGTTACGGTAACAGCTCTGAATTGCTATAGCTGCATAGAGCTTCCAAACCCGGGATGCCCTTGACAATTTGCACAATGACCTTGAAGGTGCGAGGGAAAAATTCAGGAGCTATTAAAGCGGCTAAGAGTTTAACTAGCTAGTCAACCACCAATGTTTAACCAATTATACCATCCACAATCTAACTACAAATGCGACTCGGATCAAATCCATGGCCACCATGATAGCTATAGCTGCGCTTAGGCTAACTATAGGTGATCTATACGTATGCCCACAACATCCTTCGCTTTCTATATACCCTTTGAACACTTCGAGTAGTATCTGGATAGCAATAACTAGATATTCTGGGTCAATATATGCCAAACGCTGTCGAGCTTAGTTACTATCTAGAGTCTATGCAGCCAAGTACGGAGCTACCATACTTTCTAGTAGCTGGAGTTTACAAGTTCGCGATCTGATAACGAGATTAACTTTATGCTTATATAATATACGAAACCCGCCACTCGGTATAACTTTAATCCATATTAGTAATCACGCATAACCTTGTATAAATGTGCATCAAAAAAGAAAAAGAAAAGAAGAAACAAGCAGGAGAAGCGAAAGGATGGAAAACAAAAGAGCGATCAAGCGGTGAAGCTGAGAGATGTGAAGAGAACGGAGTACAAAGCACAAAGTGCTGATAAAGGTGCAGGTATGCATGTAAGAAGCCTGCACCCTCCCCCGCGCGTCACATGGATGCGTGATACCGTGAGAGGAGATTGATGTTTATATACGAAGGTCTGTCCCATATGAGTCAACGGAGAGGAGTATTACGAAGGGCGTATCCTTACCTTAAACGTCTCCCCGAGTCCTCGGCGATAGCCACCGAGTTTTAGCTATGGCTAGCTCTCTCCCACCAAGAAATTAAACAGAAGATCCATCTCCGCTCCCCAGTGGTGACAGCTCCCAACCGGCCAGGCGGAGGCCGTAAAAGGGGATGGTTTAACATGCAAGGCCAAGTCGAGTCCGCTTCCGGCCCCCGCTGCCTGCGAAATTTATATGCCGGAACACGGCCCATACATTTCAGCAGAAGGGCATCACGAGCACTGGCCCCCCTTGTTCTCTCATCCTTGACGTGCAGGAGCAAGCAGCAGTTGAACGGCCAGTCGTAGAACAGCTGGAGAGGCGTATAAAAGTAAAAAACGAATTGGCTCGGTCGTAGTTAATGCAATGCGAGTGCGAGTGGAGAAGGCTTGTCGCCCTTCGGTCGTGTTGGAATGCCGCAGGGAGGTGTTTGGCCTTCTCGAAGGCCTCGCCTGGAGGTGGTCGGAGCCGTATTGCTGCGAAAAACAGGTCTCTCCGTGACTCAACAAGGCCAGGCCCTAGCAAGCTTGTTCGTATTAGCTAACCGTTAGCTAGTTATATTAGAAACAGCTTCTCGCTGTCCAAGTTCTTGCGTAAGTGGTTGATGCCTCGCGTTTGCCTCCCGTCATCTCGGCCACCCACGAAATTCCAGATTCGACCAGCACGACACCAAACCGCCAGAAAACCGATAGACTGACAGAGGATAGCGCGCCTGGTAGTAGACAGCCGCTGGCAGACGTCAAGCTGATCACTGCGATGTCCGTGACGTCTTGGTGTCTTTGTACCGCGTCGTCGTTCATTGGCTAGAGAGCTCCGGCTTGTCTGACATGCTCCGTCTCCATCTGATAACATAACAGCCACTTTCCTTCGTTATTATTACTATTATTAAGATACAACCATCCTTACACCACAGCAGAGCCGGCACCGAGAGAGAGACAGGCCAGCCAGAGCTCGTCTTCTCGCGTCTGCTCACTATGGAAGACTGCGGTGGAGGCCCTATCTGGAGCGTTAATGACCTGTCATTCTGCTTCCAGAGAAAGTGAGCAAATCCTCGCTGGAACTTTTCCTTTCTTTTTTCCCATGCCTTCTTTTCCAGCCAATTTTTGAGGCTCAGGAAGCATTTGTCTATATTAACAGAGAGCTAATCGTGTCTCCTCCGTGATTTAGGTACCTTGGTTTTATTTTCCCGATAGCTTCCTGTGCTATTTCGCTGTTCTTCGTCCTTGCACACGTTCTGCTTTATCGGATTGCCGAGTACCGAAGAAAACAGTATAAGAGCGTTCCCTCGGATATCGTGGATGTACATACCAATGGAGCTGAGGAAGTTGGATACCGAGACGATGGAGACGAAGAGAGTGACTTGATGCTCAATAAGGTCATCAGTCGTACGGCAGATATACTGATTGAGCCTGATAAGCCGCGTGGGAAGAAGCTGGTCAACACCATCGAAATACTCGCCTTGGTTGGCCAGGTGGTTATAAATGCCATCGCCATTCCAGCTGCCGCTAATGTAACTGGTATGCGGACCTTCAACATTGTTCGCCTGGCTTCGTGGACATATATTCTAGCTCTAGCAAGTGGAAGACTCGCCACCTCACGATCCAGGTGTCCGTCCCTACCAAAACTATGGAACCATACAGCTTCCCTGTATTCGTTGCAATGGCTCTTCATCGTCCTCCCATTCCGCTCGATCTTCCTCCACCATCGACGTAAGAATGACTTGCCTTTCTTTGCTACCGATTTCGCGCTCTCAAGCATACTCTTCCTCATTGCCTTGACTACCCGCAAGGGTGAAGAGACTGTTCTTGTCCAGCACGAAGATGGATTGACACCTCCGAAAGACCAGTTTGCCAGTCTTTTCTCCCTGGCAAGTTTCTCCTGGATGGATTCATTCATCGCCATGGGCTATAAGAAATCGTTAGAAATTAAAGATGTCTGGAACCTCAAACCTGAGGGGCATGCAACTGCTGTGCTAGCCAATTTCCGTCAATATAAGAAAGCCTGTACCATGGCATGGAACCTCGTGGGGTACTTTTCTTGGGATTTGTTCGTTCAAGGCCTCTGGGCAATACTAGCAGGCCTTTTCACCTTCCTCCCTACCTGGCTCCTCAAGTTCATCCTGGAATATGTTGAGAACCCTGACGATGTTCCTGTGAGCGCGGCGTGGCTCTATGTCATCCTTATCTTCGTCTGCGGAGCTGTCATGGCCGTAGGAGATGGCCAGTCACTGTGGCTCGGACGAGAGCTCAGTGTCAAACTCAGGGCAATTATTGTCGGTGAGCTTTATGCCAAAGCTCTTAGACGCAAAGCCGGTGCGTTCGTCGGAAATACTTCCAAGGACGAAGATGAAACCAAGGACAAACTGAAGTCTTCCAAAAAGGCGAAGAGCAAGGATAGTGCCGAATCTAAAGCGGAAACCGAAAAACAAGCAAACCTAGGAAAGATTATTAACTTGATGGCCATCGACTCATTCAAAGTCAGCGAAATCTGCGCATATCTGCACTTCCTCTGGGCCAGTGTTCCCTCGCAATTTATCGTGGCCGTATACTTCCTCTATCAAGTCTTGGGTGTCAGCTCTCTAGCTGGAGTTGCAATGACTATCTTAATTGCCCCCTTGAACGTTTACATTGCCAGCAGATTCCGAGCCGTCCAATACAAGATCCTCGCGGCTACAGATGCTCGTATCCATGCCACCAACGAAGTCCTGCAAAATATTCGAATTATCAAATATTTCGCTTGGGAGCATCGCTTTGAGAGCATTATCGACGAAAAGAGAAAGACTGAGCTAAAACACATACGCTCTCGTTACTTGCTCTGGGCGTGGGCCGTTACTCTTTTCTATGGCACACCACTCATCACAACTCTCTGCACTTTCTACATTTTCACTCATTTTGAGAACAAAAAGTTGATCCCATCGATTGCCTTCCCAGCCTTATCTATGTTCTCGCTTCTCCGTGTGCCGCTAGATCGACTTGCTGATATGGCAGCTCACGTTCTAGAAGCTAAAGTGTCCATTGATCGTGTTGAAGAATTTTTGACTGAAGAAGAAACTGAAAAGTACCATCAACTCAAGAATTGCGATGAGGAGGAACCTAAGATTTGTTTGGAAAACGCTACTTTGTCTTGGGGTTCTAGCAAGATGGATTCTAATAGTGTCTTGAGCAGCACTGCTCCAGCTTTCAGACTGATTGATGTCAACGTGAATTTCCAGCTTGGAAAGCTCAATATAATTGCTGGCCCGACTGGATCTGGAAAAACCTCCTTGCTCATGGCTCTCTTGGGAGAAATGAGCTTGATCAAAGGTTCTGTGTCACTTCCCGGAGCAATTAGTGATCGAGCTGACCTTCACCCTGACCCAATGACTTCGTTGACGGAGAGCGTTGCCTACTGTGCTCAGGAAGCTTGGCTTGTTAACAACACAATAAAGGAGAACATTATATTTGCATCGAGCTACAATGATAATCGATACCAGGCTGTGATCAAGGCCTGCTCTTTGGAGCGTGATCTGGAGATTCTAGATGCTGGTGATCAAACTCTTGTCGGTGAGAAAGGTATCAGTCTTTCCGGTGGCCAGAAGCAGCGAATTTCTCTCGCTAGAGCAATGTATAGCAGTGCTCGCCACTTGCTACTTGATGATTGCCTTAGCGCCGTGGACTCTCATACAGCCAAACACATCTTCAACAATGCTATTCTTGGTCCGCTCATGATAAACCGTACCTGCATCCTGGTTACACATAATGTCTCGCTCGTCTTACCACAGGCTGAGTACGCCGTTATACTCAAGAATGGCCGTGTTACTGCCCAGGGGTCTCCCTCGGACCTCATTGATGCTGGTGCTATTGAAGATGATATTCTCAAAGCAGGGTCTGGCTCCCATGGCCCGTCACAGCTAGCTTCCCGCGTGCCATCAAACCTTGAAGAAATTATCGCAGCCCAGGAAACTGATGCTGCCGCCACAGCAACAAACGGACCCACAAGGCCTCTGAAGAAGAAGAAAGCAACCGCAGCCTCACCGCCGACTAATGAAGAAATGAAGGTTACTGGAAGTGTTCCAATGTCCACTATCTACATGTACCTTCGTGCCATGGGACCTTGGTACTACTGGGTTACGGCAATGGCGTTTTTCGTCCTTCATCAGCTCGCATCCCTGGCACCGAACGTATGGGTCAGGCAGTGGGCCAATGCGTATGAGGTCAGGAATAATACCGAAAGCGTATCAGTTGCTGGTTTTGATGTGCCCAGCTTAAATTTTGGTAACACAGCCGCCGCATCCCTCATGTCTCAGGCACCTAACGAGTCTTTGTTTTCTATCGCCAAAAGGAAATATGCGGACATCGACGAGTCATACTACCTTTGGGTTTATCTTATCCTCACTATTGTCTACATTATCATTACTTTCTTTAGAGAATGGATTTTCTTCTGGGGATCCATCCATGCATCTAGGAAAGTCCATGGCTGGTTACTCCGTGCCGTGATGCGAGCCAAGTTCAAATTCTTTGATTCCACTCCTCTGGGTCGTATTATGAACCGTTTTTCAAAGGATATCCAATCTATTGATCAAGATGTGGCTGCTACGGCCATTGGTGTTATACACTGTGCTGCCGCAATCGCTATGATTGTTATTCTGATCTCGGTTATCACGCCACAGTTCCTAATCGCCGGTGTCTTCATCACCATAATGTACATTGCCCTCGGAGCCTTCTATATAAACACCTCGCGTGATCTCAAGCGTTTGGAATCCATCCAAAGAAGCCCGTTGTACCAGCAATTCGGAGAAACCTTGAATGGAGTTGTCACCATTCGAGCCTACGGCGATGGCGCACGCTTCATTTTGGACAACCACGGTCTCATCAATACTTACAACAGACCCTATATCTACCTGTGGGCAGCTAACAGATGGCTTGCTTTCAGAATTGACATCATCGGTGCGCTTGTGTCCTTCTTTGCAGCTGTCTTCCTCATTTTAAGCGCTAGGAAAGTGGATGCGGGAGCCGCAGGTCTAGCAATGACTTATGCCATCACTTTCTCCGAAAATATTCTTTGGTTGGTCAGACTCTATTCTGAGAACGAGCAAAATATGAACTCAGTTGAGCGTGTGGAGGAATACATGAAGGTAGAACAGGAAGCACCTGCTCTGATTGCCGAAACCAAACCGGCTGGAGTGTGGCCAAGCAAAGGTGCTGTTAAATTCGTCGATTATTCCACAAGATACCGTCCAGATCTCGATAGAGTATTGAAGAACGTGAGCTTCGACATCCAACCTGGCCAGCGTGTTGGTATTGTTGGTAGAACCGGTGCAGGAAAGAGTTCTCTAGCACTGGCCCTTTTCAGGGGTCTTGAAGCAGAAACTGGAAAGATTCTAATTGACGATGTTGATATTGGATTGATCGGTCTCCGGGATCTCAGACAAAATATTACCATCGTGCCACAGGATCCTACTCTTTTCACAGGAACGATTCGAACCAACTTGGATCCATTCGGCTTGTTTACAGATGAAGAGATTTTCACTGCTTTACGACAAGTTCATCTTATCGGCCCAGCCGGTTCTGAAGAAATAGAGCCACCGTCAAGTAGCAGCGCGGCCGAAAATACCGAATCAACTCAATTATTACTTGAAGATGACACAACACCTAACACTCCTCAAGACTCCAACACCCTTGTTGGCACCGCGAATGGCAGCACAACTGGCACAGACTGCAGTGCAGCACATTCACAAGATAACAAAAACATCTTCTTAAACCTTGAGTCAGCTATTACCGAATCCGGTTCCAATCTTTCTCAGGGTCAACGACAGCTCCTCTGCTTAGCCAGAGCGCTCCTCAAATCTCCAAAGGTCCTTCTCATGGATGAAGCAACCGCCTCAATTGACTATGCCACCGACTCTAAGATCCAAGATACCCTTCGTGAATTAAGGGGTAACAACACCATATTGACAATTGCGCATCGTCTTCAAACTATCATCGATTATGATAAGGTTCTTGTCCTTGATCATGGTGAGGTGAAAGAGTATGATGGCCCATGGCAGCTGATTAACCAGGAAGGAGGAATCTTCAGGAGTATGTGTGAGAACAGTGGAAATATGGAATCGTTGTTAGAAGCCGCAAAGAAAGCATGGGAGCAACACAGATTGGTCGATGATTCTTAGAAATGTTTTCAAGGAGGAATTTTAACCTAAGATGACCGCCTCTTATTGCTCTTCGCTTCATTTTGGTAAGCCAAAGAAAAAAGAAAGAAATTGTGCCTTTCCCCCTTATTCTTAATATTTTGTGTTTTTTAGCTTCTTTTCAACCCCCTATAGTAAGTACTGCCATTGGAAAATCCGTGGATTTGTCTACTATTGTCTTTATTGCTTTAGCAAGTTATACATAATGCAGAGCTATTATATCGTATATTTAAAAAATCTTCTGTTGCACACGGAGAGCCTGTACGTTCTGTCATTTTATGATGGAATAAGCATATATTTTTCCGTTCCCTTTCTTGCTACATATCCTAGCCTATTTTGTTCAACCAAAGAAAAATACTTAGGATTACCACCTGGGAATGAAAAGTAATAATCGGCAATCCTTCGTACCTTGAAGAGAAAAGAGAATGGATATCATTACAACCTAGGAAAGAGTTGCCTGCCTTCACTGGTTGCTTTGTCTCCATGGTACACAGCCGGTATGTTTATTCCAACTTAATCGAGTAGGCTGGATGGCTTCCTCTCATCGTTGGTGTTTTTGTTGATGATAGGGAGGGAGTTGGAGTAGAACTGGATGTATTTCTTTCGACCACCACCGCTCCCGCCCGAAGTCACTTTTGGCTTTTCTTCTTCGTTAGTTGTAAGGAGGTTATTCGAGTCCTCGGCCCCAAACAAATCCGCGAACGCTTCCTTATCCAATTTCTGTAAGTTTTCTTGCTGTGCTAGCTTTTCCGCTTCTTTGGCAAGCCGAGCGTCTTCTTTCTGTGCACCACCAGACGCAAAAACTTGATACCGTTTGGCAAGCATAGCACGCTCCTCAGCGCTTTGTTGGGGGAGGAGATCGGCTTCACGAGGAGCTATGGGGCGATTTTTTGGTAAACTTGTAAGCACTTGCCGCGAAGCAGCTATACAGGCGCAGCTGCAGCTACGAAAGCATCGCTCAGTACATTTGTGGCCGCATGGCAGCCTACGATCGCAGCTCAATTGGCATTGTAGCTTGGAATGAGGGATACTATCGACGATGAGGTCAGCGAATGGATTCGTAATCTCTTAAAAGATACGGATAGTACATACGCATGACAAAGCAGAGGGCATTTATGGCCGCATTGCAGCTCCTCTCCGCATCGTTGAGCGCAGCCCCCGTCATTGCTTGACCAAGCATCTGGATCTATGGATAGCTATTAGCAAAAGCCAGTTTGGAGTGAATGTTCAAAGGATGCAGCATCATACTACTAATCAACGTCTTGGTCCCATGTTTTTTGCACATCAGGGGCAAAAAGTACCCCAGGCGTTTGGGGGCTTTTCTCATAATTTGTAACACTTGCCACCACAAGCCATTAGCAATAGCAAGAGATTCAGCGTTTCCGAAAATATAAAAGCCTCGTTTGGCACGAGATAACGCAACGCAAACACGATTCTCATTTGCCAGGAACCCAATCCTATCAGATTCATTGCTTCGTACCAAAGAGAGGATCACAATTTCGTTCTCTTCTCCTTGGTAGGAATCGACGGTGACGACCTTTGTGTATTGGCCTTGAAAAAGTTGATTTTCTTTTAATGACTTGAGAATATGTTTCCGTTGCCCGTTGTAGAATGTCAGGATGGTGATGTTTCCTAATGGAACACCGTTCATGTGCAAGTAGACGTAGAAGCCTACAATCATCCGTGCTTCTTTCTGGTTGTATTTTGAAGACAGGCTATCTGGGGATTCAGGCCAGTCATGTGTAAAGAAGTAGGAATTAATTCCTCCCATACCAGGCACATCTCCGCGGGCTAAGACACTCTGATGGTCTTCCAAGTCATTGTAAATGGGCAAGAGAATGCGTCGAATTTCCGGGGCCATACGCCTCTGGCTGGTCAATCTTTTGAACGGCATTTTGTTCCGAACAAACCGCTCGAACATTGAGATGTTCAGGTAGAAGGGCTTTCCCTCCAGCTCCTGCATGGAACAACTTCCCCGGAGCTGTTGATGATCTCCGACTAAGACAAGATGCTGCAGCGATTCCATGCATGCTGCGGTCACAGGAGCCTCGAGAACCTCAGCTGCTTCCTCAATCAAAATGATTTTTGGCCGGAGACTAGAGATAAGAGCGCGGTATTTGCTTAAGCCCGTAGTGGTCATGCCAACGACTCGTGCGTCTCGGAGTATCAGAGAATCTCTTTCCCATTTACCTATTTTTGCATTTTTGCAAGCCACGTTGTATTTTTCGAGAATGTGACGAAATTTGTCACGTATGGCTTCCTTTGCCCGTTTTTGAAGCAGTGAATAAGTTGCAGCGCGCGCGGTACCGGGAATCTTCCACATATCATCATACTTTAAACACGCATCGTCGATAGATTTTCCGGTGTAGGTACGGTGTCCCCGAGTCGTGAATAGCTCTCTCAAACCAAGGAATTGACCTTTCAGGATCTCGTAGTCATCGTCATCTAGGCCATGTTCTGCCTCAAGTTCCTTCAGCTGCTCATACTCAAGATCAATCTCTTCTTCAACAAATCCGAAATTTTCTTGCCTGTATATCAGTTCGAACTTTGTTAAAGCATCTCCCAGCCAAACTGACATTGGATCGGTCTGATCACCAGCTCGTACCCATCCTGCTGCCCCTTTAATGAGTGAGTCGTGCTGAGCTATTGAGATAAGTCCTAAATTTAAAAACAATGATGGTTGTAGAGGTGAGTGGGAGTTTTCTGTTCGGAATGGAGAAAGCAGCTCAATAATTTGATCGGTAAGGTCGCGTAGCTCTTTTCTAGCGGGTGCTAGGCATCCTCCAATAATGGGCGGCAAGTTATTCTTTTTCCGCAGCTCGAAGACGGTGCGTGTCCTGATTTCAGAATCTGTGCTTCTCCCACCAAGTCGAACGTAACTTTGTTCAAATTTTGATATATGACGAAGCAGCTGGTCCAGAGCATGGTTAGTTTGTGCGGCAATTATTATGGGAGGATCGCCCTGATACGTGTTTTCTAGCATCACTTTTACCGCCTCAACGGAGACATGCGTTTTTCCAGTACCTGGGGGCCCTTGAACAATTGATAATTTCTTGGTCAGTATTTGTTGAAGAGCATTCCATTGAGAAGAATCCAAGGAGTCGGGGTGGGCAGGCCACACGATGCTGGTATCAACCTTTTGTGGGCTTCCATCATTAGAAGGTAACACGCTGGACATCTTCACCACTGGATTCTCATTCAGATATCGAGGAGCTCCGATTGCAGTGTTAAGGTCACAGATGTATTCCGAGAGTGGGAAACTATATTGTTACTGTTAATTCTTAGAGGTTTGTTAGTACAGGACTTGATATTTATTTACCTCTCGTCTGACAGCTTCTGTAGGGCACTCAGAGTATGTCTAGAAGCTTCAAAATACCCAACTCGGCCTTCAACCATAACCCATTCCTGTTGGTAATCAAACTCTGCGTCTTCAGGGCGTGCAAAAAATAAATCGATCTCAGGTGGTGATGCCTTCAAGCCCTCTAATGGCCTCGCAGCGACTGTGGCTACAATGCATTTGCTCTGGAACGAGTCACTTGCCGGAGATAACGCCACAACATTTCCTGTCATTAGACGCTTTGAGTATTCCCACACGATTTTTTTTCCTGCCCTGAAAGTTGAAAATTGTATCCTAGTTGCAACCCCAGCTTGCGCAAAAGTTAGCCCAACGATATGAACCTAGAGAATGCGTTAATTTTGCTGTATCCATCAGCTCTTGGGAAGACATTTACCTTTTCGTAGACACAACATTGAGACGAGTCGGACATCTTTGGATCATGACGAGAATATGCAACAGCATCTCGTAGTGGGGCAATCGCATCCTCACGGAGTAGCTCATAATGAGTCTTGAGATAGTTCTCCTTTGATGGCCAAGGGCCGTAAACCTGGTTCACACCAAGTGAGATCACGTCATCACCATCAAGCCCCAGGATCTCCTCCGGTGACGGTATTTCTGGCTTAGCATTCCAAGTTCCGGGTGTGCCGGAATTATCTGCCTTGGTAACGTATTCCTTGATCTCCTTATCAATCTGAACAGTTAGGTGAACTTCATTGAACGAGTTAGAGGGTGCAGGCCAACCGCGGCCTCGACGGCCCCTGGCGCGTTGAATCCTTCGATCTCGCATCACTGACACAGCTTAGCTGGCAGTTGCAGCAAAAGACTTGGAAAAATGGAAAAGGCTCTCAAATTACGTGGTAATTTGAATTATCAACATGAGATATTAAGATGTTGATGTTGAATGTAGGAAGCTCAAGTGGAAAAGAAAAAAAATAAACGAGCCAAGTCAAACAGTGTGAATAGCCAGCTAAACAAAGCGGGCCAAGAAGGAAGCGAACGGAGTTTGCCGGTAAAGAGAGGACAGAAAAGCACGTATTAGAATATCAGAAGTGAAGAAAAAAGTGAAGGAAATTTAAAAAAGTGAATGGAAAGCGTTTGGAGGCGTTGTGCCATAGTGCTGAGGCAATCGCTAAGGACACAACATAGCCCAGACAAATGTTGCGAAGAAGGTGCCAGAAAGAGATAGAAGTATAGAATAGGGTAGAGAGAGCAAATACTAGCCTTGCTCGCACCTCATGGGAATCTCAAATGAAGGCAGAGAAAAATCTCTGCTGACACGGAAGTGAGCTATGCCTAGTTTTCTTTATCTCTAGTGAAGAAAGAGAGTATAAGACGGTTAAGGAACGGGATATTGCATTCAGTGCCTGCTTGATTGACGGCAAGGCAAGACATGATTAGCATATTCGATCTTTTTAAGCAACAAACAAACCAGGGATGTCTACGGCAAATGCAGAAACCCCTGGGTAGGCGGCGCTATGGATCCAGTAGAGAATTTTATCAGCAGATATATCGATGTCCAGAGTATATAGCGGTATCCAACAGAACAGGTTCTATAAGAAGAGTTAAAAGACGTATGTAGCGACAGAAGCTCCGTTTGTTTCGTCTCTTATTGTGAAATTAAGCAGAATTCGGGAGCCTCCAGTTGTATAATGACCGTCGGATTAAGATTTTCCCACAAACCGGGCCAGCCGCTTGAGGCGCTAAATCGCGGCTAATTTCTTTGACGACCTTCTTTGCGCAAGGCAACCAGGTTTCTCTGCTGTCTCTACGGGCATGTAGCCTCTTTAAAGACAATACTTTCTTTACTTGCCGAATCCTGCTATGCAAGTCCTATTTTACACCCTTTATAAACTAGTAACGTTTAGTACTATTATCAAATCTACTTTATTAACTACATGTCCACCCTGGTCGATGTTGACTTCCAACATCTATCCTGTAAAAATACGCCTGTCTAGCATAACGTAGTCCCCATGCGTCGAGATAAAGGATTAGTCTAGCAAAGCAGAAACACATGGCCTGCCATTTGCTTTGGGGCATTTCGAAGAGCCTTTCCCCGTATCAACAAGTTAACTAGTTAATACTTTAAAGCCGCAATATCTAACATTTATAGACAGGCTGAAAACAAGGCCATAATCTGGCAGTGCCTCTATAGGCACTGTCCAAGCTTAGGGTGATGTTATATCTCCAGGATCCATTAACCTCCCCCAACATTCCATTACGCTCTACTGCCCAATCCAACATCTATTTGACAGTTTCCAGCCTTGAAACGGTTAGCTATTCTCTTACTCTTCTTCATTCTGAGGACCTCCGTACTGACGGATGCTGTTGAAACAGGCACCAAGGGGGGATCATGTGGATTTCACATCCCCCTCCTCCAAAATGGTCAAACGGGCTTTCGATGCAAAGGAGTCTGATAGTTCGATCCAGATACTGGCCTATCCCTTCTTTCCGTTCACGCGAGCGGGGACTGGGAAGATTAGGCACGTGGATGGGTCTAGAAGGACGAGGTTTTGAAAACCTGTGGATTTCTACCACGCCTGAGGCACGGTTGTGGCGAATGAGTTGCTTCTACTAACGAGGGGTGTTAAGTTGCCTTTTAGCCATATAATACGGAGTACCACGAATATCTTCAACAGGAGATTGATAGAGAATGATAGAGAAGTCCTCAAGTGACCACTTCACCTAGCATAAATGGATATATGCTCTCACAAGGTTGACGGTCCCATCTCACATCTCGCCACGCAAAACACGAACGCCTGCAGGATCTCTAACACAATCTCTTTATATACATAGTTACTCCGTAGTTATAAGGGGTTCGTTTCTGCATCTCGACCAGGAGAAGAACATCGCAAAAGAAAAAGGCCTCAAGACACCGACTCCAGGCAGGTCCAGAAAGCCTTGGGACTCGGGTTGAAATCAACAGCGAATGAGCGTAAGGCGAACCTGAAACGCATTCCCCCAAGACAAGCCAAGGCCAGCCCGTAAAATCATCCAATGGCGAAGGCTTCCATGTCGCCAACCCGCATTTTCTATGGCCTTGACCATGTTTCATGAGTCGGATCTTATCAAGGGAGGCAACCGGACCAATAAGCGATGGCGCTGCAAACCCAGAATGTGAGATAAGTCGCTTACATAAGCAGGTACCCAGGGAGGCGAAAAAATTGGGTGCAAGAAGAAAGAAGAAACGAAAGTTGGAATAATAATGACGTTTACTTTTTGCTCTTTTTCTTTTCTTTTCTTTTCTTGATGTGTATGATCATATTCTTCTTTTGCTAAACCGCCCCAGATGGGTGTTCCAGTAGAGTTGGAGCAGGTGGGCAAAATACTTGGATTAGTGGGATCCAGCAAAGGCTGTTCCTGGTTCCTTAGCAGGAGTCTGCTCTTCTTTTCTTCTTTCTCCTTTTTGGGTTACTTTGGATGGCTTTTGCCGGTTCCCGCAAGGTTAAATAAAAGAGAGGTACGCCGGGGGATGATGGTTTTGTTCAGAAAGGCTTACTGCTGACATTGCACGTATAAGACATGGATGTATGAACGGGCTGGGGGCGGCTGGGAAACATAATATTATGTATTATTATTGAAGATCATGATCCCAGTCTGTCTCCCACGGACCGGAGTGGCTGGTGCAGAGGAAACATTCTCCTTACGAGCTTGACAAGCCGCGGGCCACGAGTTTTTGTGGATCCAGCAGGGGGTCCCTCCCTGAGGTGGCGTTCGTTTGTTGTGCTGGCAAGGGAAGAAAGGAAATTCATCTCCCGGTCTGAGTCTGCGGAAAAAATGAGATTGGGAACTGATGAACTCGGAAGTTCTCAGTAGAGGCCGGGAA